CTAAATCATCCAGTCGTCATGGATGACCCATGATACAGCGATCTCCGCAGATCTACCTGTGTCGTTTCTGGGGCCGGGCTGGTTCCAGAGAATGGCGAGCTCCGAAACTTGCCACGGATACTCCAAATCCAGCTTATCCAATTGGGGATGCCTCAACGCCGAGCCATGCCCCCGGGATATTCCATTAATCTAACTGGGGGTATTTTCACCTTTTACATCCTGAAAAACATCCGTGGGGCCCTGTGGGGCCCTGTGGGGCCCTCACCCCCAAGTATGGTAATGGCTACTAATGATGGCTATTAATGGTTGATAAGGGCTATGAATTTCATGGTTAATCATCATGGTTATTGCTGGGATGATCATCCAGCAAGTGCGTACTTGGTGGCGAACTACCCACGAATCCTAAGACTAAGTAGGTTAGTTCACCCTAGTTATAAGTGGACTAAACCTATATACTTACTCCACTTATAACCAGAGATATAAACTACTTAGTAAATTACTCAGATTTGTTTCATGTATAATAAGAAACAAGTTATACCTCCAATATATAACGATATCTCCAATCATATTGTATAATAGGGATATCATGGAGGTACAACTGATACAGTTACAATATATATATATATATCAATATATATATATCTATAATGTTTACCTCCAATATCATCATATGTATTGGAAATTCGGATACCAATGGAGGATACAATGGAGGTAAATCATATATACATTACATGAAATGGTATAATTGACATATGAACTGCGGAAGATATTTGGTACATAAAGCAATTGACGGGGTGTTCCTACCTCGCTCTCCAGTCCCGTAGCACTTTTTTGGGTCTGACCTCGTTTTCCAACACCGCACTTGTTTTTAATAGCTAAATGCTTTACATGCGATGTCGAGGTGTTCCTACCAAGTTTTACAGCCTAAGTATAATGTTTTCAACAAGCCAGGGTACGCCCCAATACTGACTACTCTCCATTCAACCAAATAAAAGTCGTCACTCATATATATATATATTTATTTATTTATTTATCAATTACAATCCAAGGGATCACTCTTAAAACATTCATGTCATTCATGTGACATACCTCAGTGATCAGGTTGAAACCTTCAGTTCCTATTCATGTGTTCAGTTGATCCCCTATTGAAGATCTTCGATGCAATTTGGGACAGTTTAGAGTTTGGGCGAACGGCGCCTAATCATATATATATATATATACATAATCATATATATATATACATAATCATATATCTATATAATTGTATATATATATGTATGTAGATATATATATATATCATATGTATATAGTTATATATATATATATAGTTGTAGCATGTTGTAACCAACAATGTATGATTGCTGGGTGTGTCCAATCTACTGGTAGGGTGACACCCCGGTCTGTTGAGGACCTTGAGAACTCCCAACTGCTATGGATTCGAAATGGACTGGGTTGGATTGCTCCCCACAGTGCCACAGGATGAGGCCCCAAAGATAGCGTTCAGTTGAGATATAAGTGGCTGAATTCTATGGTGTATAGTAGATATAACATTATATAACTATAGTTAAACGGTTTATAAACCAACTTACAACTGGGTGGGGGGGGCACAATCCTGAAAGTTCCAGAGTAAATACGACAATAAGTCTTGCTGGAGTTGGCAACACACCATCACCTGAGAATTTCTGTTTATTAGAAAACTGATTCTTACCATATCTGACCAGTATGATGAAATACATGTACCAATCATTCACCAACCACCAATCGTTTACCTGATCATCATCGCTTTTTAAACATGTATCAATGACCATACCTGAAAATGAGCTGAACAAAATCACGATTATACGAATCAATGTTCACATGGCGTTAATAAACCACCCGCAATAAAGTACGCCAACTCCCGGGAAAAAATAATACCCCCCCCCTCGTAATAAAGTACGCCAACTGATTTTTCCCGTTTTTTTTTTCCGTTTTCCCCCCCCCCGTAATAAAGTACGCCAACTGATTTTTCCCGTTTTCTTTTCCCGTTTTTTTTTTTCCGTTGTTTTTTCCGTGTTTTTTCCCGTTTTGTTACCTTTATGTATTCGTTTTCAATTAGGCAATTCATTTGGGAATACTAAAGTGGAAAGAAAGTTCCTTTATGTATTCGTTTTCAATTAGGCAATTTGTTCGGCGCCACATAGGTCTGAAAATTTTCCAGGGACCCTAGGTGAATGTTTGGCCTAAATTTTATTGTGATGCTCTTAATGTTTGGGGGGGTTATTAATCCCATGTTAACATTACATCAATTACCATACCTGAAAATTTCATACGCCAATCAATCACCTCAGGCCGCGCCTTGTCACCGCCATGGCATAGCAAACGGTTCGGATATCATCCACGGCCTGGGTGTGGAAAATTCATGGCCGCCGAAAATAGGAGAATATATATCTGAATGTTGTAATTATATGAAAGGAAATTACCGGATATTATAGGATATTAATGGATATTGCATATACATATACTACTAAAAAACATGTGGCTGTTGAATAGCTTTGATCCATGCCCATTTGAATGATGCCTGGTCAAAACATCCAATCCCATCAAGCTCAGATCGGTGTATACAACAGTGGTTCTTTTACGTAAGATAAAGAGTTACGATGTTCTTCAATTGACCATTGAATCCCAACATTATTATATTTAATATGTGTAATATACATACCGTATGTATATATATACTATATTAATTATGTATATATGTATATACGTGGGGTTTTCTTAAAAATGAGGGTCCACCAAAACCATGGGTGTCAATACTAAAATGCTATAGTGACTTGGATGGTAAAACGGGGTACCCCCATTTTAGGAAAACCCCATGTATACACATGTAATCTTATTTTTTTAAAGTGAAGGGGTTCGTTCAGCTATAAGTTGGCTTCCAAATCCATTCAATTGCAGATATCACTACGTCTCCACCATTGCTACTGGAGCAACCCCCTCAGCACCCCCTGGGACTGCAATTTCTGGTGAATTGAGATGCGAATCAGCAGAGTTTTCGTCGTTTTCATCTTGACGTAACTTGACGTATCTAATCATCTAATCTTAGGGGAATGGGAGTTCTCCACATCTTCTTTTTGGGGTATCATCTAAAGAATATCGCTGTAGTTGACATAAGCCATGAACAGAGAAGCCTGGTGAATCTGGTGGAATCCCTTGGATCAGAATGTGGAGATATCCAGAAACTTTTAGCCACCCCAAGGTGTGTTTATAAAACCATTCAACTGTAGGTCCACCATAAATCCTAGTTAATTCTGCATACATTCATATATCAATATATCCATAAGTCCTAGTGTTTGGGAGTTATAGACTCACAGAAACCTATCAGAAACCTATCAGCTTGGGGCCCACCCCATTCATGCCCATCCACTGAGCATCTGACACCCTCAATGATTTCTCCTTCCTTGTCACGCAAGCAGTTCACCTACGGCCGGGAACACGGGGTCTATCATGGTCCCGTGTCTCGTGTTCACGTCCCCCCCCCATATGGTCTGGTGGGGAGGGATACATAGACATGCACATACACATGTATACATTTGCACATACACATACCTACATACGTATACAAATATATAATATAAACACTACTTGCATATATATATATATTACATATACATATAGGGACCATCACCATCTTGGGGGGGAGGGGGAGGACCACCAGATGCTGGGCCATATTAATACATCATTTTTTTCGCCAACGATTTTTTTTGATTTCAATAAAACATATGAAATAAACATGATTTTTCAATACAAAAAAAATGAGAAACACCAGTTGCTTTATTAGGGTCACCTCATTTTCGACCCATTTTCGACAAGGCATTGCTTCAGAATCTCCCAAGATTTCATAATGGTATACCCCATGTTCACACCGACACACCCATCCAGAAAATGTTGTTGGTGATTTAATGATATCTATTATATATACAATATTGCATTTTTATAACTTATATATATATATACTTATATAATCTTATGTATATAAATATATATCTATATATATTATAACTGTTAAAATTCCCTATGAATGGTGGTATGATCACACCCCTGATGGATAACAGTGATCTCGAACTCTGCGCCTGCTGCATGTTGAAGGTCCAAATGAAGCAGGGAGCTCCCTGGCTCAGACGTCTTTTGTTAAACAACAGAGGCACCTTGGGCGGATGGTGATTCTGACTCCAATAAGGTACAGTATATGTTGTTGTATTCAACATCCAATTCTTGGGCCCTTCAAAATTCGATCCATCTCTATGATATGACGATCCGATGCTTGAAACCCCTGTGAAGAATGGAACACGTCCTTCGAGAAGCATCCTCCCAGATAGGTATGGAAAACAAATCATGTAGTTGAAATCAAGGGGCAACATTATGTACAACAACTTGGGTCCCATACATCAGCAAAATTTTCCAATACGTTCCCTCCCCGTTTAACAAACATAGACACTGAGAATCACAGTGTTTTGGAGGCGTTGGTAGTCTTCGAGGTTAGATCTCGCAAGGCGATTGTGACGCCGCGTCTGGGTATATGAAAATCCCGTGGGCTGGACAGCTCTGTTCAAAAAAATACATTACAATAATTTAGATCTACATTTGTATACATTTGTATACTACATAACAGTACATAACATGTATATATATATATATGTATTGCTGATAGGATATACTGTCCCTGTATATGGGGGGGTTCTTAAAATGGTGGATCCCCGGCATCCCCCAAAGCATGGTGAATCCAAAAATGGCCTAATGACTTGGACGATTTGGGGTACCATCCAAAATGTTAGGCCATTTTTGGATTAAACACCATGGATTTGGGGGAAAAAACGCATTTTTGGATTCACCCCAGTGAAAGACACCCATCCACTGCTGCCTGTTCCATCAACTTCGCTCCTTTCAATTCCACCTGATTTTTTGCGAGGCATGGTTGGCCAAACAGCAACCAGAGGTGGGCTGGTTCACCGCCAAACATTGCATTTTCTTAATCAACCGGTTATTGGGGATTCACACTTACTTGTTTGAATATATATATATGTATGCATGCATGCATGCATGTATGTATATGTATAATTGTGTATATACAAATATAACTAAACCAAAGAACTGGGGCCACAGGACTTGACCGCACAACTTTTTGTTGGATTTACCGATGTACCAGAATGATGCGACCGAGGAGGGGGGCCAATTCTTGAGCTTTCCAACATCTATGGACGGTTACCCTCTGATAAACATACCTATGGCAAATCACCATCTTTAATAGGGAAATCAACTATAAATGGACCATTTTCAATAGCTATGTTAAATTACCAGAGGGTAACTAGCTTGAAACTTTTGCATGGAATGGGTGAAAGGGATTCAATATAATCTTGCCTAGAAAATCATGGTATCTCACTAGCCGCACTAGCCCATGCAATTTTGAGGTGGTTCCCTTTACAGAAGCAAATCTTGGACACTCTTCAGAAACATCCTGAAATATGACATACCAAGGATTTCGAACTATGGATGAGGTTCAAAACTCATCTGCCGATGAAAAAAACAACCTGAACCATCCAAAATGTTGGCTACCACCCAAACATCATGGCAGTTGGGGGGTAAATGCGTCGATGTTTTGAATTAGTTCAATTAGACAAAAAAAATGACACCCCCACAATAAAGTGCGCAAACATGTTTTGTTTGTGCGTATTTTGTTTTGACGGGGGTGATGTGTTGGTTTAATTATATTGAGAAGTTTCTGGGCTAAACCCTGAGAAATATCAAGGCTGAACCCGAAGCCTCCCGAATTCTTTACCTAAATCTAAAAATCTCTTGGAAAGGGAGTAGCCGTGAACCACAAACAAAATCAATGTTCTACCCACGGCTTCAAAGAACGTCATTGATTTTTTCTGTGGACATTGATGGGAAATATATATATTTTTCTTTCGAAATACCCTTCAAAAGCTGGCCTGAAACCAATGTAAACTCAAAATCCCCAAAGATTTGAAAGGGTCCCAACATGATAGTTATGTGTTCCTTTTCAATTAGGCAATTTCCAGGGTCCCAAGATGACACTTGTGTATTCGTTTTTAGTCAAACAATTTGTCCGGCAATATTTGTTGTCTTGTTTGTTTTCATTTTTGTTGCAATCATGTATTGAGGCCAAAAAAATCCAGGGTCCGGGTCCCTTGAAATTTGTTTGGCTTCATTTTTTTCTGATTACGATATTGTTGTTAATCAGATGTAGACATTACAGGAGGGTACAGTAAGCCCTTCACATGGCCTAGATTTCCTGCTCTTTGTTTGGAAACCCAGGGTGTGGTTCATAACTCCGAATCTGATTTTGGAAGGTGCCTTGACGAGGATGTGTATAGCACCTAGCACCTAGAAACTACAATGCTGACAGAACCATCCCAGTCAGAAATGAGTTTGTGACCATGGTTCTTATATTTAACAATATGTATCCTATTGATTCCTATAGGCTCCTATAACCCCACCAATCTGGCATATAGGTATTGAAACAACATCTGGCGATATGAACCGAGGATCATGACGTTGCTGCGTCAGCAGCCAGGGTGACAATCCCCCGCCAAAAAAAAATGAAAAAACATGACAATACTTCAGGAGACTTTCGTAACACCTTCGCCAAGTACTATCTGGGATGGTGTGCCAAGCAGAAGGTCTTCTTGCCGGAACAGCATGTTTTTCACTGTGCATCAGTGGGAATTTAGGTTCGGCAGCGTCTGCAGGCATTCGGATGCCGAAAGTACCCAAGCTTTGTTGAAAGTGGGGAGCTGGGTAGTCATTGTGACCATTGGCCTCTTGTTGAAGGGAGGAAACGTGTTGAAACTTTGGAAGGGAGTTCCTTGTTGCGCGTTGTTTATCTGGCAAAGGTATTGCATGAAACCATGTTGCATGAAGATGCATGAAGTATTGTTTCTTGCTGTTGGCTGTTATCATTGTTGACCCGCTTGGCCAAAAGACAGAAAGACAAAACACCATTGGCATGTTTCATTCAACAACACCCGCAGAATGCCGCCCTCCGTCCTTGCCATCCATCAAAAATTGAATGAATACTTGAATTGACCATCCAAGTTCGTCCCCGAGAACTGGATATACTACTAAACTGATGTTGACCCACATGCTAGGGTTTACCCTGGCTCGGGGATTTACAAGATTTTACATGTACCAATTCAGATGGTCACTCACACTCCAGCATGCCAAACCATGCCCAAGCGGGTTCATAGGGAATCTTGAATCTTGAATCCTGGATTGGGATTCAAAAACCGGGGGGGTACAGCGAAACCACTGTTTAACAACCTACGGCAATGAGAACTTCAAGGGCTGGATTGCTGGTTCAACCCTTATACCAAACGTTGACAAGTGATATATGAAAGCAAGAAGCAAGCACGCAAGAAGCAAGCACGCAAGAAGCAAGCAAATCGCCAGCGCCACGGGGACCCGAACCCTAATACTTCTAGCAAGTCTGAACGCAACAGCCTAAACCCGGCACCAGCCGGACTCACTAGAGGCCATCTGACTTCACATGCTGCCCTTGGCTTGTGTTTGGTTTGTCTTGGCTTGTCTTGCCTGTGCTGCCTTGCTTCGGGCCCCTAAATCAAAAACAACTTTTGCAACCTAATACCACGCCAAAGCAAGCTTTCAAGCCCTGGCATGGTGGAATATCTGGCCTATAGCTCTGTTTGGAATGGCTGCACCTGAAAAAACTTTTCGGGGCCTAATTTTTTTTTCTTCCTCCCACCTCCTTTGCAACCTAATACCACGCCAAAATGAATTGGCAAAACCCTCACCACACGAACCCCTTAAGAACTAACCTGTTAAGAACTTAAGGGTACCCGCGTTCATAATTCCATATTTTCCACCTATAGCACTTAAGAACCCCAGGGTAGGCTGGAAAAATTCTTAATCGGTTCTTATATAACGGTTCCGCTGTACCATATATATATATGTATGTATATATATATATGTATGTACAATATGTACCTCATATTTCAAATTTTGTCTATCTTTTTTGGGGGTTGCTATACTTGGATTTGCTTAGAGGGTCCCCCCAAAATCCGCCCGCACCGAAGGTGCTGGGGCGTGATCGTCCGGATGGCACTCGTAAAAGGTTACAGGTTTACCTGGGGGGGGGGGCCCATTATTCGGCCAAAACCTCCTGTTTTTGATAGGTCGTGACGCTCGCCTTCAAAAAACACTGTAAAAAACAGTACGGAAGACACCTGTTCGTGAACGCGCCCGTCCAAAATCGGCAAGCGAAAAGTGAAAAAACCCCGTGTTTTTCAACTTTTTGACCTCAATTTTTTGGTTTGCAACATCTTTTTTTGCGGTTCCGCAGGTGGCCGGGCCCGGAGGCGGATTTTTGAGTTTTTGGACCCGTTTTCGGACTGATTTTCGTCGTTTTGTGATAGCAGAAACACTGGTTTTTACAGTGTTTTTCTGTTTTCTGCATGCTTGACGGCTAGCTTCAAAACTTCCAAAAACCTCGTAAATTACGCTGTTTTATGTTACGGTGTGAATGAAAACATCGTAAATACCAGTGTTTTTTGACGTTGGTTAAAAAAACACTGTAAATTACAGTGTTTTTGGCCACCTGACCCTCAAAAACCATGGTATTTGCAGTGGTTTCTGCTTCTCACCGCGCAAAAACACTGTAAATAACAGCAATTTCGCCGTTTTTTCATGTTTTTCGTTATTTTTTGAACTGCGTTGGTCCGCTATACATGGCTATCAAATTCTTCGCGTTTTTTTTTTCCGACAATCAGTACTTTCGGATGTTTTTGGTCTCAATGGCCGACATCATTGGCAGTTACGAGCGGTCGCGAAGGTGTGAGAACAACATCGTTCAAACCGTGGCGGCCGCACAGGGGTTCTTGTCGCGGAGCGACGGCAATAGAAGAGAACAATGGCAGTAGAAGAGAACAATGGCTGACATCATTAACAGTGTGGACCGTTCACTCGATATGTACATATATGATCTTTATATATATATATAGATATATCTCTGCTGTGTGAGCCCAACGATGCGGTGCGGGCGGTTGCCGTCGCGAAGCGACGTGAATAAAAACAGAGTCCCTCAATCGATCTCCGAAATGGTGGATTGTCCATCGGAAAAATACAGAAAATCGCCATTAAACAAACCTTGGAATATATCGATGCATTGAACTAGTTCAACTAGTTGGGTCTGAAAATAGGGGATAGCCCAGTTCTAGCTATTTTAATAGGGACAATTATGATGATACACTCAACTCATCAACGAGAACACGGTAAGATTCGCACCTCTCGGGGACCTGAAAGGATCTTGGTGTCCAAGGTCATTTGCAACTTCTTTCGCTCCTGAAGCCAAAAAGATCATGGGAATATCATGGGATTTTATGGGAATATCATGATTTAATGGCATTTCAGGGGAAGAAACTAGGATATTACTGGGGATATTACTAGATATTTATGGAATATTACTGGAATATGAATGGTTTATTACTGGAATATACTGGGGATATAACCCGTAGATCACGTAACATGTTGATTAAATCTATAAATCCATAGGATACATGGGATAGTTATGGATAACCAACGGAACATGAATGAGAATGCTGGGGATATACAGTAACCTATGCTGGGAATATCATGGGAATATGGTGGAACATAATAAGATATATATATATATATATATGTAATGAAATATAATGATATATCCTGGGAATAGAATGGGAAGATACTGCGGATATTACTAGATACCTAAGGAATATGAATGGTTGCAATGGGATATATGATATATGGGATAAATAAGGATAATTAAGGAGAATGGGAATAGACTGCAATGTGAGGCCCCCGAACGATAGCTAAGTTGGTGAACATAACTCCAATAACTTAGGTTTATGATACTTGCAACTATAGTCGCCCTGTAATGGTTTTTATAAACCAATCTATAACTGGGGGGCACCACATTGTGGGATATAACCTCTAGTTATTCAACGGTTTGCGAGAAGCCACGGCCCATTTGGATCCATTTGGTTCGATGCGAAGCTGGCTATGATTTACTTTTTGAAATGGGAATATACTGGGGATATTGATTGGAGGTATAACCCACAAATAACATGTCAATTGTTGATAAAAAGGATAGATCAATGGGGCGTATGATACAGGGGATAATCATGGATAATCAACGGAAAAGAATGGAAATACTGAGGATATAACATTGAAATACTGGGGATATAACCCAGGAATAAAATGGGAATATCATGGGAATATGGTGAAACATAATGGGTACATCGTTGGAATAGAATGGGAGTGTGTATATATATATATATACTGGTGATACTACTGGGTATTATTGAATATGTATATATATATATGGAATATTACTGGAATATGAATGGTTGGACAATTATTGGAATATGAATGGGAATGTGTATATATATATATGTGTGTATTACCGGGGATATAACCCATAAATCACATCTCTAACGTTGTTAAAATCAATAATTTTCGATCACAACTAATCATAGATGCCGGGTTTTGTCTTGTAGCTGGTGAGGGTAATATTATCCGCAGATATAGCAGAGGTTGGGTTGTACCAAACTATATAGCCATCCAAGGTTAACCCAGTGAAATTGGTCTGAAAAGAAGGTTGACAGGTTCCATTGGCTTTGGGTATCTACAAAAGCTATCAGACAGACACCGGCTCAACCGGTCCTTGATTCCGGCATTCACACTGTTGAAGCAAGCGTCGCCACAATGTTTTTGCAAGGCCTTGGGATCTGCATCGCAAGTGGGATGCAGGATCGCTGCAGTCCAGCACGGCGAAAAAACCATCCACAAGCTGATTTAAACACACAAAGTGGTTTAAAAGTTGAACGAGTCGAATTCGCATGTTTCTTGGCATATATATTTATATATCCTTTTACTTTTGCTGTTGATTCAACCCCCATTTCAGCTAGTGCAATCTTCACTTCTGATTATACAATCCACATTTCTCTCTTTGCGACTGCGTGCGCCAGTCAACCATGGCACAATCCACCAGTAAAATGGATGATTTTCCCATCGACTTTTTTTGCATTGCCATGTCTGGTTGCCGAAGGCTACCCAGGTGCACCTCTTGATCACCTTCAAGATAAGACTTGATGATGTGAGGCACCACAATATACTCCAAGTCCTGCCAGAAAGCCCAATGATCGGATGTGCATCCTAGGAAGTAAGTCGTATACTGTAACCCATGTATATACATAGCCAATTTATTTGTGTATATAAATATAACCCATATATATATATATAGCCCACTTTTGATATGTATATATATATATATACATGTGTATATATATATATACAAACATATGTGTATATATGTATACATATATATATATATACATATATATATATATGTAAACATATTATGTATATATATATACATTATATAAATGTATACATACTTGAGTGGCTGTGTGTAAATAAAACAAAAACATGGACAACAAAATAATCTGTTTTTACTGTAAATACCAGAAAAGCATGCTGAAGGTAGGCCCTGGTGGGGAGGGTGACCGTATAGATTTCATATGACTATCACATGTTATTGCCCACTTACAATGCCTGGGATGTACATCCAGAAAATCCAGGGATCCGCCGAGCTCCAAAATAGCTGGTACTTTGGGATGTTCATTCATTCCACCCAAAAATATGGTATCTTGTAGGTTTTGATCCATCCCCATGTTTATCTCTATGTCTATCACTCCACCTATCTATACATTGTACAGATGCGGTAACTGCTGAAAACATACTACGCATGCAGGCACTGCGGATAGAGATGCCGAATGTGAATCAACCCTGCCGGCCAAAAGCTGACTTCTTCAAAGCTGGTGTGTGTATTTCCCAACGTGGCTATGATTGGGTCAAAAACCATGGTGCCCTGGCAAACATCCGATGAGAAGATGACGATTACGTGCAGTTCCAGTTATATAAGTGGATATATATATATAAATATATTATTTAAAATATATATATATATACATATATATATATATATAACATTATAAGACTATAGTTATAGGGTCCCTATATTCCAACAAACATGGGGTTCTAGTTCACCATCTGAAAGTAAACCCTTGCCTGCAAGATTCACCAGGGAGTTCTCCTTAGACTTCCATGAACAATTGGGCGATGCCAACATGTTACTGGTAAAATCAAATTAAAAACTTGTTGCTTTATATATAGGGTGTCCCATGATTGCTTGTAGGAATCCCTGTAATATGTGTAAATATAAAATACATAGACATACAATATACACATATAAAAATATACTCTAGCTGTATAGTATAACTCCTAGTTTGTCACTTGGTATAATGGCTTTGGCAATGCCATGATCTGTCATCATTTATGCATTAATGCAGCAATCATTACGGTCCTACCCCGATTTTCAGACAGACCCACTTGCAACATCTTGCAACCGAAAAGTCTTAAGATGTCTCAAGTGACAGTTGTTTTCATGACGCAAACAAACACTAACTCATCCACCATTTGGACAATTACCCTCCAGAAAACACACGCGGCTTCATGAAAATTCCACATTTAGATGATTTCCCCATTTCAAGCTCCGTTGAGTTCAGGGAATTCCCAGTCACCTCTGATCAGTCAGGGATCCGGCATTCCGGCGTTCCGATCCGCCCCATCCGCGTCCTCAGCGAATTCTTCCAAGCGGAAGGTATAGTCCAGATCCTGACCGGAAGCTATCGCTGGGATGATGGATCTTCATCCTTAGCCCATGGTGTAGTTACAGTAGTATTTTTGATCGATGGATCCTTGGATAACAACAAATAATATGTGTATACTAAATTAAATATACTATCATATCATATTACATTATATCGTGTCATATTATATTATATTGTATCATATTAAATTATATATTGTATCACATTGTATTATATCATACTGTATCATATTATATCATATTATGTCATATTATATCATATTAGATATACTATATATTATATATTTATTTAAAAAAATGGTATCATAATGTATCATATACTTTTTTTATATATACATAATACGTGGAATTCATCTACAAAAAAATGATGGTTTAACCAGCAGCTGCAGGTCAATGGATTGGTTGACGGGAAGCAACATACAGGAAATCATATCTCTGTTTCCCCAAAGTATCGTTCTTTTCCCTGCACATGTTCCCTTGGACCAATTATGGGACACAAGAAATATGGCTCTTTATAAGACATAAATGGCTGAAATATGATCTATACTCACTTTGACCATCTTTTACCAGTATCCACTTAACAGGATTAAAAAGATACAAGCCACTTGTGAATCCTTGTTTGAACGCATAAACTCAGCAAAACGTGGGATAAATATTTACCCCGCAAACGTGGGAACCAATGGTTCTTGATCCTTGGGTTTCTGGATTTCAAAACGTTGGATCTGGTTCCACTGCTGTTTTAGTTGTTAAGATACGTCAAGACATGTTTACATGATCCATGATATTTTCTGAGGCTGTTCAACCAGCAGTCAAAAACTGATAGCCACGTCTTCCCGCAGTCCAACGGAATGTAACCAGCCCTATCAACTGATCTTAATCTTGGCTGCCTTTTTCGCTGGGTAAGCCCATCCCCCGTTCATATAATATGGTGTTAATATTATAGAAACACCTCCCCGAAACCATGGTTCAATAGGGGATGAAATCACATTTGGACCATAAAATGGGGCTGTTCAATATTAATGGGGGGACTAACGAGTATGTATTGTATATATGTATATATATTATGTTATATATATATCTATATTATATTATATTATATATATTATAATATATATATACATATATACATATATTATCCCCCTTTACAGCAAACAAATTGACAGCTTCACCACCCGGACTGTCCACCCGACCGTCCACCCATCATCATCTCCCCCGATTCACCTGCTTTGGGCAGCAGCCGAAATTTTCTAAAGCTAAGCATAGGTTGCGGAAAGCACTGCCACGGCGATGCTTCCATTAAATGACGATCCGTAAAGGGACCTCCATTAAAAGTGAAGGCTTGCTATCTGAGTTTCATCCTGACACAGGCATCTTTGGCCAAACCAGGAGACTGCGGGGCACTTACCACTTCCTCTATCAGCTCTCAGAGCTTGCAACTTGTGAAGCCATGACTTTGCTACTGCTGCTGAAACAACACCTGTATCATTAATGAAAGATGAAGTATGTTCAAATTAAGTTTCATGTTCAAGTACATCAGAGTCTCTTTCGGAAGTGCTTCATCTTCTTGTTCAGTCTCTTTCCTCCTCTCTCTGTACGTGTGGCAAGGCCTCGTCAAAGCCCTTGCGGAAACTGGAGAAATGGCATGGACTTTTTCCGTCACTGGCCCATGACGGGCAATTCATTCTTTCCCAACTTCAGCCTCAGAATGGCACACAGTCTCACTAGTCTTGAGAGCAGTGGCCAAAACTACCCAAATGGTGTGGCAGAAAGAACGCACCAAACACTCCGCGTGCAAGATTCATTAAGTTATTGAACGTTGGATGTGATGTTATCAAAAAACAAACCTGCAAATGACAATCCTATACGCATTGATTAGAACCATCAGCCTCATGATACCCCCAGTGAATGCGACTACATGACTAAATCAGATCCCAAAGGCAAAGACATCACGCCGGGGCCATTGCTCAAAGCTGATCTGGTTTGGGGGCGGTCATGAGAGGCTGTTCCCTCTATACTACTATGCCAGTACTCCTCCAAAAAGGTGTGCTATTTTGACCCCGCTACCGCTACCATTCTTAAGAACGAAGATCCCTGGTATGCACTGCCAAATTCACTGCCCAACTTTGACCTAAACATTGATGAGGGTAGAAAGTGGAGCCCTATAAATTAACCTACTTATAAATTAGCCAACAAATGTTCCTAAAAATCAAATGCTGCGCTTTTGTTGGTTAAGAAAAATAGGAGCCCAGCCCAATCCTTCCAGTGGATAGGAATTCCCGGCATGGTTGACTACTAGATGTATTCATAAATTGGGCTAACTGCATTCTATATTATTCTATATTGCTGTGTTGGTTTATCTAATTAATCCCATCCACCTAATCACCACCCAAACATATGATTCATCCCTACATCCACCACGGTTTCTGGGGGATGCTTATGAACGAGGGAAGGGATTAAGATGACATCCCTGCAGTGAACTCATGTGCCCCCAGTCGCCAAGCAGCATTGCCTGCAGCGTGCACGGTGCCATCAGTGCCATCGACGGTCGCGGATGGGTTCACTTCCGGGAGCCTTACCTTGCTAGCGAAGGCGCAAAGGCTGCAAGACCCATGGACCCGACAATGTGGGGCACTTAGGTGATCGATTTCTGTTGGTTGACTCGGTTAACTCTGAGATTGGTTACATTCATGGTGCATACGTATAACTATATTAATATACATATATACAATACTCGAAGTGGGGAACCCACTTTGTAGTGTCCAATGGTGTGGCGAATATCTGGTAGCATCAGAGATTTTGTTCATACCTGAGGCCGTGATAAAGTAGGGGATGGTGGGGCACTATTAAGCGGAATGTCCTTTTCAGGGACAACCTTGGATGCGCAGAAAAAAACACCGAAAATGCTAATTTGGCAAATATATGCTTATATAATATTATAGCAAACCCCAAACAGACAGAAAGGTAAAATCCTACTAAGCAAAACAAGTTTCTATCTTTTTGAGGGTTACTATATATATATATATCATATAATTATATATGATATATATATGAATACTTGTGGGAGTGTCTGAAAATGAGGGACAATTATATACCCATATCATGGCAGTTCTTTATGGCGTTATGGCGAACAAAATCAGACATACCCATGTATCCCCATTTCTTTGCAAAAAAATGTCAGCAACTAGCCGCCCAAGGTTCCCAGCAGTTCAAGAAAATGCTTCCAGGTCGATTGGGTCACGTTGCTGTGGCTACAGCCAAGTGGCAATTCCAAAGCATAGATGGACTCCATAAAAGCTGAGGAATTAACCCTTCAAACTCACAGGGATGTGATACGTTCCCAACATTTTACCAGCCCTTCAAGAAGGGGGCCCCCAAATGACAGCGAAATTGCTTTTATCAGGCGGCCCCCAAGTGGATTTACGTGGATGAGTGGCTGAATATAAACCAATGTAACTGTATATCTGAGGGCCCCACTGTTGAATGTATATTTATGTATATCTTATATATAATTATAAAATTATATGGCTGAATTGCATTTCACCAGCCTGAAAGTTCAGAGATTTTCGGATGTTTCCTTGTACTACAAACTGGTCCCCCCTAGGGTTTCTGTAATATAATCACCATGAGCCCAACATGTTAATCCAGCTATGATCCAGTTACAATCACCATAAAACGATCTAAAACTTACGATGTGGTGCCACCCAGTTATATATGTTTGTTGTTTTTTGATCCCAGTGACAAGTTCAAGATATCTACCATTAGCTAATTAATCCGAGTGACAAACCAACTTTGCAAACGAAATCCTATTGAATCCCACAAAATCCCCATTGAATCCCCATTGAATCCCCTTTGCAATCCCCATTAATTCCATGGAATCCCATTAAATCCCGATAAATCCCCATGACATACCCGTGCTGTACTCATCATAAACCCCTAGATCCTATGTCGACGTTGACTGCAGGAGCCATCCGTTGATCTCCAAGCAGCGCGCGAGGGATGGACGTGGCGCTCAGTGTCGCCCCAATCGCCCCTGAGCGGTGAAAAACCATAGGTTTCTAGATGGCCTGCTGTTGCAGTTGGGATATATATTATATATATATATGTATATGAAGGTTTCCTACAATGGGAATGGGGGTACCCGCCCGGTACCCGCAAATCATCCAAAATTAGACCACTTTGGTATAGAAAGCCTTGGTTTTGGGGATCCCCCATGTTCAGAAAGCCCCATCTAGAACCATGGTAATAACACCTGTAGGTTGGGATATAACCCGCATGATAAATTGCATATGATATAGTATGATCACTTTATTTTTTTTAAGATTGATGTGATTGAAGGCATGACCATCTATGAAGATACACCATCAAATGGTTTTGGCGACCCATGAGAAACCAATGGCCCCACGAATGACATGTCTTTTCAACTTTTGATCAAAACTAAACATTTGTTTTTTGCATAGTTTTGGAATGTATTGAATGTTGAGCCATGTTGTGCCATTCCCAAATTTGAGGAACCACCAAGTTCACCAAGCATTGAAGTGTCAACTGTCAACAAAAACAAATGTGGGTGTCCACCACAAAGAAAGCCCTGGAAAAAATCGCGAACAATAATTCAATAATGTAGGTAAAACAATAGTAAGCCACCCATTTGGAATGGTTTATACAACCCATTTATGGTGATTTGTATAATCTTGTCTGAAAATGGGGTATACTTGGAAGTGCAGTTCCATTAATACGTGCTTTTTGTTACCAGAGTTGTAGCGGCCTATATCCAACACTGTGGACCTACGTGTGCACGTGTTGTTGTTGCTGGTATTAGTACGCGCAAACAACCCGATTCGCCCACACCCCTTCCATGCTGTACACTTGGGGATATCAAACGTTAGACTTTACATTCAATTGGGAAGATCAACAACAAGATGGGGCCCCCAAGATAGCTAAGTTGGTTTATAAGTGGTTTAACTATGGTTTATGGTAGATATAACTATAGTTAATGGGGATTATAATGGTTTATAAACCAACTTATAACTGGGGGGCCCCATCCTGAAGGGTATTTAAGGAATATAAATTTCCCACCCCCGTTAAACTTCTACATTCATTGAAGATCTTCAATAAGGGTTTGATTCTCCCACCACCGTTAAACTTCTACATTCATTGAGGATCTTCAATGAGGGTTTAGTTCTCCCACCCCCGTTAAACTTCTACATTCATTGAAGATCTTCAATAAGGGTTTAATTCTCCCACACCCGTTAAACTTTACATTCATTGAAGATCTTCAATAAGGGTTTAATTCTCCCACCCCCGTTAAACTTCTACATTCATTGAAGATCTTCAATAAGGGTTTAATTCTCCCACCCCCGTTTAACTTCTACATTCATTGAAGATCTTCAATAAGGGTTTAATTCTCCCACCCCGTTAAACTTCTACATTCATTGAAGATCTTCAATAAGGGTTTAATTCTCCCACACCCGTTAAACTTTACATTCATTGAAGATCTTCAATAAGGGTTTAATTCTCCCACACCCGTTAAACTTCTACATTCATTGAAGATCTTCAATAATGGTTTAATTCTCCCACCCCCGTTTAACTTCTACATTCATTGAAGATCTTCAATAAGGGTTTGATGATGATGATGATGATGATGATGATGTGTAAGAGACTCGCACAGGTCCCTATGCTGTGCGTGCCGATACAGAACATGAAGTTAGCCATGATGCAAAAAAACTCACATTTTTACCACGTTTTCAGCACATACGAAGATGGCCGCCGACAAGCGCGGGCAAATCGAGGTGTTTGGCCGTATTAGTACTATGTATATTTACAAACAAATAACATATCTATCCATATACTATATATATAAACATAGAATTTTAAACTCACATAGAATCAACATGTATTCACCAAAAGTGCAAAAGTAGGGAGTCCAAAAAACGAAGTGCTGCTTTCCAGGGTATATCCATGCCCCAGCATTCTCCACAACATCCAGGGCAAAAGGAACCCGCAACACCGAGAATATTCCCTGTAGATTCTCCAGTCGTGGCAGATTTGAGGGAAAGTACAACAGTATAAAACAGCTCACCAAATCCAAGTTATCTGACCATATTAATTATCCGTAATTATCCTTGATTCTTCCCTATTTTCCCCATGTAATACGAATATTCCATATGTCCCGGCTATCCCATGATATCCACATCTTATCTGACCATATATCCCATATTATTCCCATAGATTTCCCATTGTATTGCCTCATAGCACGATTTTTGTTGATTATATGAAAATTAAATGAATATCAACTATTGATGCTTAAATCAACAATACAGCCAATACATACATACATACATACATGCATACATGCATGCATACATACATACCATACCATACCATACCATACCATACCATACCATACCATACCATACCATACCATACCATACCATACCATACCATACCATACCATACCATACATACATACATACATTACATACATACATACATACATACATACATACATACATACATACATACATACATACATACATACATACATACATACATACTACATACATACATACATACATACATACATACATACATACATACATACATACATACATACATACATACATACATACATACATACATCATACATACATACATACATACATACATACATACATACATACATACATACATACATACATACATACATACATACATACATACATACATACATACATACATACATACATACATACATTACATACATACATACATACATACATACATACATACATACACACACATACATACATACATACATACATTAATTACATTACATTACATTGCATTACATTACATTACATTACATTACATTACATTAATACATACATTACATTACATTACATTACATTACATTACACTACATTACATTACATTACATAACATACATACATACACACATATATATATATATTATATCATATGCTTCCCGATTTTCCCATATGAAGTTGAATATAAACCTATATCGGTCCTATCGATCTCCCATATGTTTCCCATGTGAATCACATATCCAATCACTGAGTTGCCCCCGTTGAAATCTCACCACATAGTCCTTGTTCTCGTGAACAGCAAGGACCTGGACTGCCAGACCACAATAAACAAAACTATACGTACATTATATAATAAACAGATATCATAATATGTATTTTATATACGTTTAATCTAATCTATATATATATACACATGTATATATAAAATTATATATATAACATATTATATATATAAAACTAAATGTATATAATGATAATTAATCACATATTGTATGTGCCATGGTCCAGAGTTTGATTGTATACCTATATTCGGGGATGGTCATCAATTCATGTACTGGGATTTATACATGCACTGCAAGGACTCCCATTGTGGGATTGATGACCATGCCGCAGATACCATGTTTGGACCCTGGCACATATGTATATATAGATATACATTATTATATGATTATAATTGTAGACATATTGTATAAATGTATATGTATAATTAATTGTGTATATATATACATTAAAATATTATAAATGAATATCATGGGACTTCCGGCGGCTCATGTTTGCCAAAAAAACGATGTTTTCGCGCCTGTGCTGGTAGCCATCTCACAGTTTTGCGGCTGCCTGCCCCGAGGAGGCCATATGTTTTTTTGCCGCAGGGTGTCTGGCCCTGGGATTTTCATGTGGGTGGTATATATAAAAAGAATGCCATAAACCATCCCCTAAATCACCATATATATATATGGGATTATATGGGTGGTATAAACCATTAAAAAAACCTGGGTGGTTTTGATGATTGTTTTACCAGACATGATAGGGAAATAGTGGTCAATAATGGTCCATGGTGAATCAATGATAATGGATACTTGATGGGATGTTAAATGGGATTTACCTTCCGAGAATCAAACATGGCAATTGGAAATTCACTATAGAAGGAGCATTTAAAATTTATAGCTGGGAGAATCCTTGAAATAAATGGTAGCTTTTGCAGCAAGCTATGGTTGATTACCGCATGGTAATCTCAGTGGGAAAATGAGGCCCAAAAAAGAGCCCCAAATATCAGAAAACTATCCTTCACCCAGTGGGGGGGTTCCTTATAAGTCATTTGGGTCATTTGGGACCCCCAGTCGTCACCATGGTTGTTTCAACTTTAAAGTCATAACTTGGATAATTTGGGGCTACCCCCATGACAAAACGGAAACCACCAAGCCACCAAGTCACCTCGATCCTCGCCTTGACCCATCGTCCAGCTTACCTCGACTCGAGTATTGAGGTCGAAGCAGCCTGGCAGCCAGCTTGACGCACCGTTCACCATATTCACTTTCGGGTTGATTCGGGTGATATGCTGTTAGTTGGCTTAAGTGTTTTTCGAGTTTATTAGGGGTATATAACTTCTTAAACTATAGTCAATATGTACAATTTCATGTATATATATAATATATATATAATATATAATATATATATAATATATATATATATATATTAATGGGTTTATAAAGCAACACACATTTCACTGGGGCGGCCTCATCTTCCAGAATGTCTTAAAACCCCAAACAAGTTTAACAAGTTTGACCCGTTGGGGCGCCTGGGAGGGAGGTACCATCAGCAAGTGAAAAGAAAACCACATCTAATGCCGTAAAGCTACCATATGGGGATGGTTTTTACCACCTATCCATGGTAATTTTTTAAGGATTCCCTTGGGTGTACCACATTGCATGCAAACCACTGACAAGCTGTATCCTGAATGTGTCGCCAATGGTGATGTGTTTCTATTCTTTGTTATGTGTGACATGTTTTGATGCTTTTTGCCAACATTTTTGCGGGGTAAAATATTGGTGATTAGTTTAATTCCCACTGCATGATTTTGTTTCCTTGAACATCTCATCTCTGGTTGAAAGAGTAGCTTTTCTTGTTTCTTCACATCGAATGATCATCCCCTTCTGAATTTCACTGGTGATCCAAGTCACCCCATTCGAGGTACCTGGCTTCCAGTTTCATTGTGCAGATAAAAACAGTTCGATTTTTCCTGCTTCACAAAAAACCTCCCAAGGTTTGTCAATTTTCACCGCCGCCGGAAGCATAGGATTGAAAGCTGACGGCGGATAGGATCAGATGATGTCAGATGATGTCAGATTAACTACAATTCCATTTTTTTTCTGGGTAAATGTTGGTAAAATTCACTAAGCTAATGTTCTAGGCTTGGGATAATTTCCATCCTGACCATGATTCCAGGGTTCGGTCACACTGACTATAATTCAACGAGATAATTTGGGTAAAATTATGTAAAATTTGATAGTTCACTAACCTGCAATATCTGAAATAGGACGATTTTGGGATAGTCACCCCTACTCACCATGATTCCAGTAGTTCATACAATGGGATAATTATTTTGCTTTGACCATCCTGGAAGTTAGGATGATGGATGAATGGTTAGTAGATGTTGGTGACTGGATTGTGACCCTGTAGAGTTCTGGATAAATCACAAGAATTCATGGGACGATTCGATTCAGCATCACTTGAACGTGGGGATGTGAGGTCGTGATCAAACTTATCCAGAAGATTATGCATTTATTAAACACATAATTATATATATAATATTCTTGTGTGAGAGCCGGGCACCAGCTGGGAGGGCTACCAATAAAAACATGTCTTAAAAATAAAAAAAAATCCTTGGAGGGCCCGATTTTCTTATTTTGTTTTTTTTTTTTAAATTGTGTTTCTGTTTTTGTCTTATTGTATACTATTTGTCCTTATGGTTTCTAGTTGTTCCTATTTGTTGCCTATGTTCAAATAAGTTTGTATTAGTTGTCCTTCGGTGGTTATAGTTGTTTCTATGCATAGTTTTTTATGTTTCTTAATTTGTTGATATGTTTTTTCATGTTTTTGATGAGTTTCTTGTTTTTCCACCTTCGCAGCCGCAGCCCAAATAGTCACCTACCAAATAGTGACCTCATCCTCATGTTTGATGTATAATATAGCCTCTTGGCAATTAATATATATATATATACCCTGAAAAGAATCTCGGTTTACCCACCACTTTGTAGTTACGAGTACCTTCCACAACCCAGGTTTTTCAAATGAGTGGTTGGGATTTTCTGGGCAAAAATCACAAGGAAATCGCAAAACACATCGACTGATAATTCATCCATATTCAAGATGGGATAATCCCAAAATCATTTCGAAAAATCACAATTTTTCAAGTGGGATAATCCCAACCTTTAAACATATCCTTAGACATGGTGATCGGCCAGTGGTGCTGGCAAATACTCCCGTGAAGTTAGATGATTTTGCCATGTCGATGCCCAATTCGTGGATTTGCCAACTGGCCATGGTGGTTTCCATTGCAAAAATACGCCGCAAAACATGGATTTCGCCTCCGGTAACCAAACGTGGCTGACTGGAAAATCCCCGAACGAAATGGAGGTTTAGTTCGTTGGGCAAATTACCGAACCGTTGCTGGCCAGCCACGTTTGGGCACATCGGAGGGTAACACTGAGAATAAATCAAAATCATATGTTGATATAGTTTTCTCTTGCTTAAATAGAAATATAGAATCATACAGAAATAAGTGGATTTTCCATCAGAAACGATGGAAAACATGCTGCCAAAAAATGCCAAAAAGCCTCATCAGAAATCCCCAATCCGCGCCTTCCGGTACCTTTGGTTTCAGCAGTTCTTCCAGGTTGGGCTGCAAACGCTCGTAGCATTGCCCTTGGTAGGAAGGTATGTGGATGATAGGCTCAGTGGTTCAGAAGCTAAATGACTTGAACGCGTCAAAATGCTGGGTGCGAACTGGTACTAGTGGCTTGTTTATAGCTAATTAGTCCAATTATTGATTGCAATGATTTCTCTTCAATATGGTTAGTAGAACCCAATGTTAGCAAGAAGCCAATGGCTTTTTTGACACTGCTCACTTGTATATAACACATATTTAGCTGGGTATAATTTAGTTCTTACCCGCTTACTAGCTGGGATGAAGCCCTATTATGCTACATCTCATGAGAATGTAGGAATATAATTTGAGATTTACTCACAAACAATTGGGGTATTCAACTATAATCATAATATATATATATATATATAATATATATATCACAATAACAGGAATATAACTGGGATAGTTCATCATTGTTTTTTTTGACCCAACAATGCGATTTAGGTATGTCGGAAAATGGGGAATAGCCTGAAAACCATCCAATTTCGGGGTACCCTATCTTCAGACATAATCATATATCAACAGTATATTGCTGGATGATGATGTCTTTTCTATGCTTTTCTTTCTCTTGGCTGATTTGGCTGTCTGGATCGCAAACATATAATTATATACATACATATATATATATCCAAACATGAGTATGGAAGCAAAAACATTTGCTTTGTAGAGATCTAAGTCACAGTCAAATCTACCCTCCGGTGATTTAACAAATATACGTAAAATTACTACATGGATATTTATAGCTACAAAGAAAATAATATTTTCCATGGCTATGTCACTATGTCTAAATAGAATCCCACAACTTCTGCCCCAAGACGATCCGCCTCGCGGATGATCCATGGTAACTGACCAATCACTTGGATGATTTTGGGCTTCAGGGAGCCATGAAATGGCTAGCGCCTTACCATTGAAAAAGCATCCGGAATCCCAGTGATTCTTCCCAAAGAAAGTCTATATATATATTATTATAAATACATATTCTATGCCATTATCATATGCCCATCAGAAACCCTTCAAATCACCATTAATTCAAATTCTTTGAAGTCCATCGTTGACAAAAAAAAACGTGTTGCCGTGAAAGACATCGCAGCCGTGTCACGCCAGACCTGTGTGCTGACCACTGCCACCTACGGTCGTTGAGGGAAACTGTTGATCATCAACTACAGTGAAGGCCTTTAGTCACATCAACTTTTTGGGTGCAGCATAATTTCTATGGCGGAAAAAGTCGATGCGACCCCGTCATATCATGGTCACATCAACCATGCCATTTCTTGTATGGTGGTTTAATGGGGGGTTAATGATGGTTATTACTGATAAAGTTATAAATAATATAATGGTATAACTTTATCATATACCATATTATCATATTACTGGTATACCATTATTACACCCATGTTATACCATATTTTGGGGTATGGACATCCAGCATCATCCAGCTATGACTTGGGGTACCAAAGACTGGATAGCTGTCCGTGGATACTCCATTGGCAAGTAATCAATTCATTCACAACAAGACTACATATTAGTTAGCAAGCAAAAGTAGCAAGTATATAAGGGCAAGATAAATCATACTGTCGGTAAATCAATAGTGAACCCATACGTATTGAGTTTATAGCACAGAAATGCTAAGTCATTGGGCATGCTGGATCCTATTGCTTTACCAACAACAAATACACGGCTTTCGAGACAGAATCGCGTTCTGCGGCCCGTCATCCCCTGGGCCCATCATCCCTGTTCTCGCTTTCTGGTGATATTGTGATGAGCTTGTTACAATTCAAGTTTTATATGTTGGACATATATGGAAATATATATATATGGAAATATGTGGAAATTCTGGTGATATATGTTGGAAATATATGCAAATATACCCTGTTATATCATGGCATACGCTGAACAATTACAAATTGTTAAACCCGCTTGGAACAAGAAATGCAAGCGATGCATCTATTTGGAGACGGCTATCCCATCGACCGACATCCTCCGTGTTGGCGATCCGATCCCAATGGTGGATGGTTAATAACCCCAACTGCACCCCCAAACATGGTGGATGTATCATCGAAAGAAATTGGCTTTAAATGGTGTATATGGATGTATATGGTGTACATTTATGCTGTATATTGTCGTGATACATATGTCAATACTTGATATAGTTACCATCGGTTACCGTGTTCACCATAGGAGGGGTCCTTATAAAGTTACTATTTGCTGCCATAATTACTGACGTAAGAAAAACATGATTATCATAATATGAGGATAGGTCTATTGACCTATGAAATTACCATATGACTGGGGAATAACCATCCAGCTGCCATGACTTAAGGTACCGTGTGGGTACCAGGCTTTTGACCCACAACCACACCTGCACCACACGTTGCACCATCCACTCCAGTGCTGCCGTGACGTCCTTAAAAAAAAACAACAAAAACATCGCCTGCAAAGCTGCACTTTGTGGTGATTTAACGTTGATTAATGGGATCGTGGTGATTCGATGGTGATTTAATGGTGATTTAAGAGATTTTATGGTGATGAAAATCGAGAAACCTCACCCAGAAAAAAGAACACCATTTTTAAGGATTGACCACAATCTATGCCTGATTTTAAGGTGAATGGAGATTTGATCAAGGGATCAAGGATTGACCAACGGGCAACAGAACCTCGGACCCTCTTTTGGTGAGGGAGCAATAAATTCGGGCAACAATTATCTTTGGCCTATTCTGACTTGACCCCGCATACCCCAAATTGAAATCATCCGTAGTGATATGCGGACAAACATGATCAACTTTACCAACAAAACATGGGAATGTGGTGGCTCCCACGGATCAGTAGGTTATATATATATATGTATATATGGCTCCATATATGTATATCCCTGGTTATGGGATAAGTAGAGTTCATCCACTTATCGGGGTGAAGCTACTTCCCAAGTGAGATGAGCCAGCAGTCGTACCATGTTTATATTTTATATGAATAATACATCATACATGATCAGTATAGAGTGTATATGTGTCATCTACTGTAATTTTATACATATGTGAATTTAAAGCAAATAAAATGTAATATACTGTAGGTGGACATATGTGTGCATACGTATATACATAATAAAAATAAATTGTGACATGATGTGAAAAATGTAACATAATGTGGACATATACTGCGAGGTTGTGTGAAGTAGGGCTAGGCAATTCAATCTGACCTTTTTCTGACGTGTTTTTGCAAACAATCATTTATCGACCCGATGCTGCGCACTCCACACCATGCAGCTGATGTACCCAGTGAAATTTTACGTTTTTTGGATGTTAATGGTGCCAACAGCCACACCTGGGGAGAGTACACTTTGCGCAATTTTCAAATTTGTTTCAGACACCCCAAAAATTGTCTCTGAAATTGTATCTTGAGGATCTTGCAACGGGAAAATATTTCACCATCTGGTAGTCACAACCTGTTGCTGGTGCAAAACTTGACGGACCCATCTTACCATCCTCCGTCCTGCTCGCCCACAAAGATCTGTTGACCTTCTCGTCTGCAGCCGTGTTCCTAGCAGGAAACATCCATAGCACGCGAGAATCAAACAACAGATTCAACTCAACATAATATATATATATTATATAACATAAATAGTTTGCAACCATGGCTGTTACAATTCCTGGGATTCCAATTCTGTTGGAGAAAAAACGTCTTTAATTGTGAAAATTGGTGAGTTTTTTTTTACATCGTGCTTCTTTCACCATCGTTTCTAGTTCGAATCCCCACAGTTCATATCAAATACCATGCTTGAAACTGATCAGTATCCGGATTATCCATCCCATGTCTGGCACAAGATTCAAAATAAAGTACTGTACTAAGATACCCATCCAAGGACAGGATGAAATTCACTCTCGTTCCCGGCCGGTTCGTGACCTGGTACTCCTCAGGCTCCGCTGTTTTGGAGACCCACAAGGAATGACCTCGGCCATGGGTGCTTGAGTCACCCCAGGGATCATCCGCCTCATGATTTCCACTGGTCTGGCGCCATGAAGGTAACTGGTCAGCCTGGTACTGAAAGTCCCCTTGGCCTGCCTATGGTTTCAGTGGTTTTCCCCGAGCTGAGGGCTGACCTTGAAGCAGCCATGCTGGAATGCACGTGATAATAATTGACAATATAGCTTAATATAACCTGAAATAAGCCCAGTTGGGGATGATTCCCTAAGACCGTCCAATTTAAATGACGTCACAGGCTCCATCCTGCTCCCAAGGCACCTCGCTGAATAGACCTCGCTGACACCGTGAGGTCCAAGCGGATAGAGTGAGGTACTCACTGCAACAGTGGGGAATCAACCCAAATATTTAGGTGGGATTTATTGACCAACAAATAAAGCATTTGGAATTATAATATGATTTTGCCAAGTAAGATTGGACTATATGAATTCCTTAACCAATGCCTTAGGAGTCTTGCCGTCGGCTGAGCCCACCCATTCAGATTGTCGCACAACTCATGGCTAAGCCCATGAAAAATGGTTTCTATATATGTACCAAGACCTTCCAATTGGAACCCCTATCGAGTGTTCTTTAAGGGGCTACGTTTCGACACCCCTTAGCCGAACCAAAAAAACACAACAGGATATGGTGATAACGATGTTCATAGCACCATTTTTGGGAGACATGGTTGGAGACGAGCTAAACAACAAAAACTTTGATTTTGGGGAAATCCGACACGCAAATGACACGCGACTCCCTGGTAGTGACACACTGCCGACATGCATTAAGGGGCGCCAAAACGACACCCCTTAGCCTAAAGGGGTGGCGTTTTGGCACCCCCTTCACATCCACCCGACACGCAAATGACACGTTTGACGAGCGCCATTTTTGGGGTGCCAAGAAAAAAACTCAAAAGCACTGCTTCCGTGGCCTCAGATAACAAAGATGAAATGTATATCCCAGATGACCCCAAACAGGTTGAGAAACACCTTAGAAATAAAGGGGCGCCATTTTGACACCCCCTCCCTAAGGGGTGCCATTATGACACCCCTTGGCATGTGCTGGTATATATATATAAGTAGACGTACACATATATACATACATGTATGTGATAGATATAGATATATGTACACATATTCAGAAGAGAAAGCATGTTCCCCAATTTGTGGGTTTCCAGTAGTTTTCAAAAGGAGTTTGCCGTGAAAAGAAGCATAGCAAAACCGACACATCTTGAACTTGAACACATCTAGAAATTTGATAAAAACACATCGTTCCGATGATGAAACTACGATTCTACAATGTGGTATCCCACTGTTTTACATTGGTTCACAAGCCCCATTAGCTAGTTCGATATATCTAGCATTCGTCCTTGTTATTGGAGTTATGTTCACCAACTTGGCCTTCCATCCTACCTTCCCTTCATCCAAGTGTTTTCAGACATTAGTTTAAGCAACATGCTTGTCAGCAGTGTGGGCTACTCGTTGTCTTCATGGTTAAATACAATTTTCTTAGCTGCTGAGTATAAATCTATAGCAAAAGGATGCAAAAGGTTGGAGTACTAAACGCTCCATATAGGATTTACAGTAATACCTAAAATCAAAGATTTCCTGTTGCAGCAGGTGGAATTGCCAAATACACCAACCAACCAGCCCTGCTAAAAGCTGAAAACTTTTAGAGGGAGAAATCGTGTAGACTCCCATCTAGTTACCCAAAAGGCTAAACATCAAAGAATATAGCTAAATTTCATGGAACTAATACATACATGGCTCAAAGAAAAACCACTTACCTTAGCCCCACTTCTTAATAGGTTTCAGGTTTCTATATGCTGATAACATCAAAAAAACACCTTCTATCCGCTCCTATGGTGCTGATCCCCATGTCATTCCCTGGAGAATACTGTCAACTACACCTCAGCTTCCCCAAATTGGCTGTGGATCAAAACTCTGGTACATCCTGGGACCATCACCGACATGAGAATGGATGCTCATTCCCACAAATGTATTGTATAAGCTGGTGCCACCCAGTCATAAACCGGTTTATAACCCCCAGATACCATACTAGTTTGATATATCTGGCAGTAGCACCAACCCAACAAATGATTGGAGTTGTTTAAACAAATTCGCGATGAATCGCTCACTGAGGCACCAGAAGCTTATATTGAGATACAAGGTACGGCCCCGTTTTTGATAGCTACATTGACTCATGACCAGGCTAAGTATGATGGCTTTTTGCATCAACCTAAACATAACTATATATATATAGCTATATACGGCAAATGTATGCAAATGTTCTAATTTTACTTCTAGCCCATAGTTACAATGTATATATATATAAATACACATCATATTACATCACATTACATAACTACAGTTTCTTTTGGGGGAGGCCCACCTTGATCCATCCCCATCCGTTCGAAACGCCCAGCTACAGCAGGTACTGCGCAAAGGCCTCGTCGCTCGTTTCTGCGGCGCTCTGCGCGACGGCGTGGTGCACTTCGCGACGCCGGTCGTCGCTGGGCGGAATCGCCGTAAGGAAACGGTGCCACATCTTCACCTGGGAAACCAAGGGAGCTTCACCAAGGGAGTTATATAACTGGGATGTCATAGATAGAAACATGATATTTATATATATATGTATATATATATATTGACATATATATATATATGTATATTGACATATGTATATATATATATATGTATATTGATGTATATATTATATGTATATATGTATATAATATATATATATATATTGACATATATATATATATATTGACATATATATATATATATTGACATATATATATATATATTGACATATATATATATTGACATATTATATAATATATACTGATATATGATAAGAAACAAGGTTGGGATTGTGGTTTTGGTGGAAAACTGGGATGAATTCTAGTTTGGATCAGTATAGCTAGTTTTTGGGATAAATTAGTGTGTATCCATATATATATAATTATATATTAATATATATATATATATATCGGAGACTAAACTAGCCAGTTTTTGGGGAATATAATTGAGAAGAATACAACCAACAGAAAGGGATGTATTCGTGTTCAATCCTCATAATGGGCGTGGCTCAAACTGGAGATACTCTGTCACAATGTCAGTAGAATAGGATGTTAAATGGGGAAAATTAGGATCAACCATGGGTATAGAATGGGACTTTAATTGGTACCGAATCACACAGGAGATATGACCAACACTCTGGGGATAAAACAACCAAATCATTTTACGAACAATGGTTGTAAAGAGACATGTTTTTTTAGGTAGAATGGGTATCCATTCTAATTGTCATTGATTGGGTATCAACAAGAAAAAACCATATAAAACCCTTCCTGGACCGGACCCAAGCTCAGCTAAGAGCCGGCCTCACCACTGAAATGCACCACTCCGATGTCCTGTCTGAGCTGGTTGTTTCTCCATGCTAGTTGGATGTACATGCAAGCTGGTAAGTGGTTACAATTCTTTCTTGAATATTCTTGAGTAGGGTTTATCCATCCTCTATGTAGGAATATATATATATATAACAAATAGGTAGTTAAATAAATGTGTATATATATATATTTAACTATATATCTGTTATAAATAACAATGTTTATGTATATAATATATACAATAAATGCACATACAAGGCTTAAACCTTCATTACTTGTTAAGCATTGTACACCGTTCACGGAACGCCAACCCCATCCAAGTGGGTTATGAAGCTGATTCTACCAGACATGTTTTGTGGAACGTGGATTGCCCAAACTTCACAAGTTAAGGTGTCTAAGAGATTCAAAAGGAATCCTAAATCCGAGGGTTGTAAATCAAGACATTTAGCAGCATGCATTTTGAAAAACCAATCCCAACTCATTTGTTGCGCATGGCAAATTATTGAACCAACTGCAAAATTTGGGAGTGATACATATTCCATCATATTCCCGTCAAAGATGGGTCGAAACCAGAACAAACAGGATTTATGCCTATACCCTCTATAAGCATCATTGTTCTGCAACAAAAGGGCCATCAGCAATCATGTTCACCAAGACATCCCAATGCAACTGGAATTACAACTACAATCCAAAATTATGGTGTGTATGTATATATATATATATGAATATACATGACATGATCAAAACATGGTACATTCCCTTACTGAGCATCTTTATAATGGGATATAATGGATTAAAAAAAAACTACAAAGGATTGATGACCATAAATATTGGCAATTTACCCCAGCTTCGATCCTGGCACATATGCATGTGAGACTCTGGTTACAAGCAAATTCATGCTGTGTTGTTTCCCTATGCCCTATGCTTGATACATTGAAAATCCCCCTGGTGTTCCATCACTTTGCAGCTTGGACAAACTAGGGTTGAAGGGAAACATGAATTACCATCAAATAGGCCAGCAAAATCCATCCGTTCATCAATGTATTTTAATTTATCCCATTAACATCAAAATTGCCAAAGGTCGTCCCCCTCCTCTACGCCCATTCGTAGCCGCTGGGGTAGCCACTCGTTGTCGGCCTGCGAAAAGTCCTCGCGCCAGGTCCACGGGTGGTCCAAAAATATCCCCTTGAAATTTCTATCGGTGGATAGGATGTATATATATATTAGTATATTAGTATAAATATATATATATACATAACTAGACTATATATATATATATATCAGTAGGAAACCCGGGACATTGGTTAAAATTAGTGTTACAAGCGTATACAAATCTATGAGAATAGGGTACTGCAAAAATTGATGGTTATAATACGCTATAGTTGCCGTTTTCTCATTGATATCAGAATCGGGAATTCCAAAACAGTGACTAAAAATCAGTTCAATTTAAGTCATGTTAAAATGGTAAGTTCATCTACCTGGTAAGTTCACATGGAAAATCACCATATTTAATAGGTAAATCACTTTATTTTAATCTGTTAATCATCGATCATGGGCCATGGCTCCATCCATTAAAAAAAAACATTGATCAAACCATGGTTGGTTATATATGTTATTTTCCCATGATCAATCCCAATATGAAGGTGATTATATGGGATTATAAATATGGGATTATAAATATGGGATTATAAATATGGATTATAATGGTTAATATTGGGATTATATATGATTATATTATATTATATGCTGGTTGTTTATATATTGTTGGGATTTATGATTATACTGTTGGTGAATTATGTGTTTGGTTTAATTTATGTTCAATCATCAAAATCCCTACAATAAGTTGCACCAAACAAAGAGTCTCATTCAAACCTGAACCATCCAGATTTCCTTTGTATCGTGGACTTGCGCAGGAAGATGTTAGCTATATTCAATATTCCTAGGCATGGCTCACATGGCTAGCCATGGCTAGGTTTATCTTGGGGTCATCTCCCCTTGGTCGCTAACGTGGCATCCCCCAAGTCTGCAGAGGGTCCCGAGTTGTCTTCGAGTTGTCCATGAAGACTTTCCACTGCAGGACCCTCTCGATGGCGAAGAGAGATTGATGCAGCTGGTAGTTCCAGGCGACACTGATTTGATGCCTCGGCGATATCAAAGGGGCAGCAAAAGGGCTCAACCAGATCAACAAAAATGTATTTGAATCAAAACACGGGAACATAAACCATCCTACCATCCAATCACCCCTGCGCAGCGATGACAAATTCTAGGATCTTACATAAGATTACATAAGTAGGATGAATACTTGGTAACTGCATGATTTCAACATATTTCACCTGTTTTAGATCAGTTCAAAAGTAGACTTGACCCAGTAATCAGGCGCAAGTGACATCATCTCCTCAGGATATTGATAGGGGGATTCTCCATTGCAAAAAAAACTGATAAGAAGAAGTGAATCCCAGTGACAGGTATAAGTGGACATGGGCTGCCTTGAACTTCTGTTTGAAATCACTGCGACATGTGCAAGGCTTGGAGGATTGCTTTGCAAATGGTTGCCGCTTTTAGGATGCTTTTGGGAAGGAAATTAGCCCAGGATCTCATTCAAGCCATCAAGAGCCTAACACTAAGTCTACACCGAGTTGCCATGGGGACTCCCTCCGTGCAGCGAAAAAGCGGCTGAGGTAGTCCTGCACCAGGTGGAACCGTAGCCGGGGTGCGCATGCAAGTTTGCAACCTTGAAAGTCTGGGGCCAAATGGGATCATTATCCATTTAAGAAAAGAACGTGTATTTGAAACCACCAATACGTGTATATATACATATATACATATATACATATATACATATATACATAGACATATATACATATATACATATATACATATATACATATAGACATAGACATATAGACATATATACATATATACATATATACATATATACATATATACATATATACATAGACATATATACATATATACATATATACATATATACATAGACATATATACATATATACATAGACATATATACATATATACATATATACATAGACATAAATACATATATACATATATACATAGACATATATACATATATACATATATACATAGACATATATACATATATACATATATACATATATACATATATACATATAGACATATATACATATAGACATATATACATATATACATATAGACATATAGACATATAGACATATAGACATATAGACATATAGACATATAGACATATATACATATATACATATATACATATATACATATATACATAGACATATATACATATATACATATATACATATTTACATAGACATATATACATATATACATATATACATATATACATATATACATAGACATATATACATATAGACATATATACATATATACATATATACATAAACATATATACATATATACATAGACATATATACATATATACATATATACATATATACATATAGACATATATACATATAGACATATATACATATATACATATATACATATATACATATAGACATATATACATATAGACATATAGACATATAGACATATATACATATATACATATATACATATATACATATATACATATATACATATATACATATATACATATACATATACATATATATATACATACATACATACATACAAACATACATACATACACAAACATACACATACATACACATACATACACATACATACACATACATACACATACATACACACACATACATACACATACATACACATACATACACGTACATACACATACATACACATACATACACATACATACACATACATAGACATACATACACATACATACACAAACATACACATACATACACATACGTACACATACATACATATACATACATATACATACATATACGTACATATACGTACATATACATACATATACATGCATATACATACATACACATACATATACATACATATACATACATATACATACATATACATACATTTATCATTTACATACATTACACACATACATACATACACATACGTACACATACATACATACATACACATACATACGTACATATACGTACATATACATACATATACATGCATATACATACATACACATACATATACATACATATACATACATATACATACATATACATACATTTACATCCATTTACATACATAGACATACACATACATACACATACATACACATACATACACATACATACACATACATACACATACATACACATACATACACATACATACACGTACATACACATACATACACATACATACACATACATACACATACATACATATACATACATATACATACATATACGTACATATACATACATATACATGCATATACATACATACACATACATATACATACATATACATACATATACATACATATACATACATTTACATCCATTTACATACATAGACATACACATACATACACATACATACACATACATACACATACATACACATACATACACATACATACACATACATACACATACATACATATACATACATATACATACACATACATACGTATTGGTGGTTTCAACCCCTCTGAAAAATATGAGTCAGTTGGGATTATTCCCAATATATGCAAAAATAAAAAATGTTCCAAAACACCAACCAGTATACATACATATACAAATATATATATATTATATGTATATGTATGCATATATAATCATATATATATAATTATAATTGTATATGCATGGATATGATCCAATTGTAATCAGCTCAACCAAACCAGCGCCCAACGAGCTTCGCACAGTCGTCCTGCTCTGGTCCGTTGCCCGCCACATGGCACGGATGACATTTGCAGGTGACCTGTTCCAGTCGTGGACCCAGGTTATGGTTCGCAGGGGTGGTTGGATATGGTTGGATATACATGGTTGGATATGGAGATAGGGAGGTGTTGGATATGGTTAGATATGGATAACTTGACAATTGATAAGAAGATATTGGAAATATTTGAAATACTAGTTGATTATATTCCTGATATAAAGGAGGTATTGGAAATACTGATGATGAACTACATGGAAAAAAGTGGTAAATCCAATAATCAACTAATCCAGCAACTGTCCATTAGGGGTCACTTTATGTAATCCCACATAGGGTTGTCAGCTCAGGGATTTTCAGAATCCCCAATGTATTGGGTGGTCATCAAAGGCTGCAAGGTGCCGATGAAAGGCTGTCTTACTCAGGTGCGGCACCACACAGATGCCATTCCATATTGGCCTTCAGTGCCCAATTTTTAAAACCGAGAATTACGCGACCAAATCCACACTCTGACCTCATTTTTTAGAAAAAACACGTTAACAAAAAACAACATATTTGCAAAATATCCAACTTTTTGCTGGTCAAATCTCCCATTTTGTCGGGTGAACCCACCCAACATCCGCGGCCTCGCTCTTCATCTGCTCAAAAATGCCCACCTCCGGCTGTAAGAGGATGAGCCCCGCGTTGATGCCGCCCTGCTGTCCCCAGGGATAGTCCTGGCTTTCCAATGTGTACGGGGCTACCCCAATCGCTGGATGAGAACTGTGGGGACCCCTATGTTAGGAAACCACCAACTAGATATACTTGAAACATAGCTTAAATCTTAATATATATATAATATATATATAATATATATATATATAATTAAAGAAATATTCAAAATAAGCTATAAATACTAATATTTCAACTGATTTATATTCTGATGTATAACTTTTGGAATATTGGGAATCTCTATATAATTCATCTATATATACATATAAATATATATGCACATATATATGTGTATACAGATACTTGGGATACGTTCGTTTCCAAAGCCATGACCTGGAAGAGATATCACAGGAACTGTATGCTTACCTCAAATCGTGGTTGGTATCAAAATCACATTGTTGATCAGTTGTGTCCCATGAAATATCACCATTGCGTCCCTATGAAATCTCCATAAATAATTATACTACCCATAAACAATTGTTGTTGGTTAAACCGCCAATTTTCTTAGTTAAGTTCAACTAGTATTCTTCCATTTTCTTGGTTAAACCACATGTTTTCTTGGTGAAAACCACCATGTTTTCCGGGTTAAACGCCAATGTGTTCTTCGTTGTATGTCTAGTGTTCTTGGTAAAATCTCCATTGTCCTTGGTTGAACCACATTTTTTGTTGGTTAACCAGTTAATTAACCACCATTTCCACTGACTGCAACTGACTCCATGGCCGCTGCCGTGCCGGAATGTGTCCTTGTTGTCCTCACCGCCAAAGAAGCGACTACCGTCCACCTCTTCTCCATGAGCGTTTTCCTCGGAGCAAATGCCGACGTGGGGTTGGTTAGTAAATGGTTGGTAAGCATAGTTAGTTCGCCCTACTCATAAATGGGATAACCCGCGAATCCGGCACAGGGTTAAACCAGAGTTGTTGACCAATTACTAAATGGGATGTACTGGGGGGGTGCAATTCCACGAGTTCAGTGGCTGATATTACCTATATTTCACTAATACCATGCAAAAAATGGAGGTTTCCTAAAATCTGGGTACCCCCGAATCATCCGTTTATAGATGGGTGTTCCATTATAGACCATCTATTTTGGGGTACCCCCATTTATGGAAACCCCCAAATGAAAAAACACTTAGCAAATTCTTAGCTGCTTCGATCTGGTGGTAGATCTATTGAAGTCGCAAGAGGTTCAACCAGCTACAAGAAGGTGCCCCAACTGAATCAAAAGATTCGTGCGTAAATAACTGAAACAACCACAATACTGTTGGGTTAATATGGCTTTAATATGGGTCAATAACTGAAATAAGTTGGTAAAATATTGGTTAAAACAACTCAATGGTAAATGTATCGAAGCAGTTGTATGTTTGGCTTAACCCCCTTTTCAAAGGTCAATATCAATTTTAGTTGACAACTCGAAATAAGGTTTAACGATGGGATATTGATGGTGATATTGATGGGATATAATTGACGAACTAGAATCAACAATTGGATGATACCTATACAGGGTGGTGCCCCTCGATTGTGTCTGTTGCTTAATAATCCCAATGAACTATACTGTAGATATTTACCATGAACCATATAGTTAACCTGCTTATACGCAAACTTTGATAACTATGGGGCACCACCTTGTACCAACTATTCTATCTATTCTGCTGTGAGAAGGACACTATGAACTGACCCATCTCCATGTCAAGCAAATTCATGCTGAAGCGGGATTGAAACAACGAAAATTGATTTCAACAGCTCAAATTTGCAGGTTCTTTATTAGGGACCCAAAATGATAGGAATCAATGGAATAATCAGCATCTTCCATCTTGGAAAGAGTGATTCATCCCAGACCTATATCAAACTGATCGTTATAAATTGTTGTCGGTTTCTTTCCTGGCGTAAACATGCGTAACCACCCAAATAACTATAAGTTGTCACCGTGGATACGACCCGGAATGAGAGTTACCAGTCGTATAAAACACCTGAATTGTTGCCGACGGATTCCCAAAAACTGTTCCTAACCACCTGGTTTTCAAACCTGGCAGTTGAAAGAACAGCCATCCACAAATGTGGAGTTTCCCCTGTCATGTTTGACTACCAGGATGTTTTCCAACACACCTACCATTACAATTCGGTTTACCTACTTGATTTTGTTGTTTGCTTGCTGAAGTAAAGACATGTTCGCTGCAAAGCAGGCGTTTGCCCGTGACGGATCCTGCATATGCTCAAATCCCCAGTCAGTGCTCCTTGATTTTCCGACACAACACTTTCCAAAACAACAAACTTAAAACAAAACCTAAACCCTAAAACCCTAAAACCTGAAACCGTAAAATCAAAATGTTGGAAAGAAAAATCAAATCACAGTCTATAGCCAGTGTTTTCCGTGTAAAAGTTGGGCATGGGCAGCCTGCTTTGGCCCCAGCATGTTGTGTGCGTGTGTGTTTTCACATACTTAATGTTTTGAGCAACATCATGTTTGTGGTCGCTTCAAATGAATCTTTTGAGAGTTAAGACACAAATTTGAAGATTTTACTCGCTCAAAATGGAAATGTTATCAGTTCAAGTGGTTAAATCCCTATCTTTTTTGATTTGTTTTGCCGAATTGTGTAGACATCACCCAAAGGTCACGACGTTTCTTCGTTAAATAATCATGTTCCATAATCTGTTGCCGGTTAAATCCACCTGTTTGTTACTTAAATCCGATTTTCCCATGGTTTCCAATGGCTTTTCCTATGATTTTGTTGGTTAGAACATCCTTTTTCAGGGTGAAAAGCGAACCAAACTTGGCCTAACCAAATCGCCCAAGCTTCGCCCTGGCCCCGGACCATGGCTGCGGGACATCTGAGGTTGAAAAGATCGTCCAAGGGTTTCAACCTGGGTTGCCCATACAGTGGTTTGAAGCACTATGGGGATATGATATAATGATATATATATAATGATATAATATAATAATACAATGTATAATTAAAAACAAGGAAGGCCAACCAATAAACCATTGGATATTGTGGGATACTTGGGGCTGCAATTACATTCATTTCAATCGTTTATATTTCTTGTACCTGGATGTGCATCCCACGAATCGGATCCGCGGCCTTTAATCCATATGTAACTCAAATAATCCCATATAGATCCCATATACAATTGGAGATATTCCACTACTCTATGTGGGGACAAAACCCATGTACTAAATGGGATGCACCGCCCAAGTATGAGGATGTGATATGATGACATCAAACAATGGATAACTAAAATTGGAATGAACCATTTTTAATTGAACAATCTTTTCATCATAGTTCATGGGTAGTTGGGTTGAACCATCTTAAAATTCAATGGAGATATGATTTATGTATGGCATATCCAGGTGGTGGTACTGTATCATAAAAAGGATGGGGTCTTAATATGTTCTAATCTTAACCACAAAGATACCTAGAAGGAAAACTTGGACAAAAAAACATAAACCAACACTATAGATTGGAAGTATCAAACAAACGGTGGAAAAGGACCAAAAGGATAGAACCCAGAAATCAAGGTGGTCAACATGAGGCACAATGACAAGAAAACATTCTGCATGTGAGTAGGACACATGGGAAGAAATTCAAGACACATCACCACCGCAAGGGCACATGATCCCACCGGTCCCACCGGTCCCACCGGTCAGGTGAGAAGCGGAATGATGTCCAGGTCCAACAAGAGTACTTTCCTGGGTCGGTCGGATAAAGCCAGTCAAAACCTCAATCATTGTTCAAAGACGCGCGACAAACATTTTGTAATGCGTGGACGGGTTTCTGCAATCTAAATGGACGTGCTTGTAATTGCATCAAATCGCATCGAAGTGTTCATTGCTAAGGAAGAAAATGCAGCAAACGAGCGCAGCAGAGATTGCTTCTTTTTGGCATTGGCTAATTCTCTCTTGGCTCATGGAATCTGATGATTGCAACTGCATCAACATCTGGGACGAATAAATTACTCAAATCTAAAATGATGTGGTAAACCCAGTAATAAACCATCCCATTAACCAACCATTGGGGGATATACCCAATAATGCACCTCTGGGATGGGTCATGGAATTAGGTTCGACCATTGCATTGATAACAGGGACATATCAGACGGTTGATATTCACCATGTCTAACCATTACTAAGCCATTAAAAACAATTAATAATTAATATAACATGACCATTTGGTTTACCCTCTGATCATTTAACATTTTGTTATTGGAAATTACCCAGTTGATTTACCGAACTCAAAGATGGTGATTTTCCATTTCGCTGTGTTAGTTTACAGGTAAATCAACATCTTTAACACAGGGTAAAGCAAATGAGGGTAAACTGCTCAGATATTTGGAGCTGTGTTGTACTTTACTAAGCAGCGTCGTTGTGAGATCACAAATCACCTGGAAACCAAGGTCTTGGGGGATTCTAAACTAATTGGTTTCAATACCCATATCATCCAAGTCATGGATGACTGTTTTCATATTTTCATCTAGTTATATATCTTAAACTAATCATATGGTGGTGTTCTTAAGTCATGGGAGATCCCCAAGTCACCATGGTTGTTTCAATACGAAAATTGTCATCCATGACCTGGATGATTTGGGGGTCCCACGGAAACCCCCACATAAATCCCAATGTTTTGGCTGTTTCAGTTGTTTCAATTCGTAAAATCCCCATCTTCAATCAGTTGAATTCCTCATTCCAACGAGATCTCCACTATATAATCTAGATATTCCATGATATTCCCATGATTTCTCTTCAATTTATTTCCCACGTTCCGATTTGGATTCGCGCTGTACCGCAACCGGGTCGCGCGAAGTCCTCCAAGGTCCAAGCCTGGAGCTTCGTGAAGACGCCATCGAAGATGTCTGACCCGTGCCGGCTCAGGGTGATTCAAAAAGTGGCTGAATTATGGGATGTGAAACAATTGTTAATAAATGTGAATAAAGAATGGCTGTAGTCTCTTGAGTGGATATTCAATTTAATGGTGAATAAACCATGGTTATTATCCGAACAATAATGGTTTGTTTTTGTTGATGGTTATGGCTAAATGATGCTAGATCAATATGTGCCTGCTGAGATGGTGATTTTCCATAGCTATGTTATTTATTTTACCAGAGGGTGTGTATCATGGGTGAATCTTAGATACCTGCAAAAAATAAATCAAACAATATCATTAATTGTTGGTGAATGGACGAAGTTTACCATAGAAAATATCAAAGTACTAAAGTACCTAACCAAGGTTGACCCAGTTTTGGGTTATTGAATGGTTATTAAATGATGACTATTCAACGAGGGCTGCACAGCGGCTATAAACAACGGCTAATGGTTAAAAACAATTACTTTACTTCGAGTGATCCCCGCCATGGCATTTCAAGGCATATATTCTGAAATATATTTTGACAGTTTTTTGACATATATATATTCTGACATTTTACCTAACAGTCTATCTGACATCTATTCTGACATTCTATCTGCCGTTCTTTTTGGCATCTATCTGGCATCTATTGTGGCATTCTATCTATCTGGCATCTATTCTGACATTCTATCTGACATCTATTCTGACATTCTATCTGGCATTCTCTCTGACATTCTCTTCACTTGGGGAAGTGGACAAGAAGAGAAGTCGAGGGAAGGGATCGCGAGCTTGCAGCTGAGGTCCGGCGGGGAACACTCTGATCCTGGGTTTGCTGTTCGGGTCCGGCGGGGACCACTGCGATCACGAGCTTGCACTGGAGGTCAGGCGGATAACACCCTGATCCTGGGCTTGCTGTTCGGGTCCGGCGGGGACCGCTGCGATCACGAGCTTGCAGTTAAAGTCCGGCGGGGAACGCCCTGATCCTGGGCTTGCTATTCGGGCCTGGCGGGGAACACTGCGATCTAGCGCTTGCAGTTGAAGTCTGGTGGAAGAGGAGGCGGAGGAGGCATGCGGGAGGCGGGCGGGACAGCTGACATAAAATCTAACAACCCTCTTCCGACAGGTGGGGGATAAGTATAACTCATAACCTTATCATAGCAATAGTTTGTTGATTGCAAACCAAAAGAATGATGGTTAGTAAGGCTGAACAACCTAGTAACCAACATTTAAAAAACACATCATGAACCAACAGCTTATGCAATTGTTGATGATTGTTCAAACAATAGTTTGGACGTGCTACGGTACTGTTGAAAAGCCATTGGGCTGTTTATAGCCATACCGGTCAATATATACATATGTATATATACATATGTATATATATATATCTATCTGTCTATCTATCTATCTATCTATCTATATATATATACGCAGCTTTTATTCTTATAGGCTGATGACTATTAACGACTATTATTGCTGGTGAGTCGTTGAGGGTTAATGGTGATAATCAACAGATCGTAATACTAAGAGTTGGCAGTAATGGTCGTCAAACTGTATCCACTACAGTAACAACACATCATCAAAGTGAATAGACCAACGAAAATGATATGGTTAGTAATGGGGATGTGATGTGTCATAATTCGGTTTCAAAGGATATACAGAAACTAACGCAACTTTGGTATTTGGGTGAGATTGAAAATGGGTGATTCCCGCAAAAAATGTGATAATCTAATTGAAAACAAACATTATGAGAAACATTGAGAAACCATTGGGTTTGAGGGTACGCCATTTTCAGACACACCCACATGGGTAGCAACTGGATTGATGAACCGTCTACATGAAATGGGAAGCCAGCCGTTTAGCAACAATGAGAAGGAATCGTCAATAGGTTTTCGACACTAGTTCGAATGATGCTTGTCACGGGTTTCAATGGGAGACCCTGATTACAGTGGTTGATAAAACATGAAAAAACCTTACTTTCAGTATGTGTATACCAGTAGTACCGCACAAGTCTGTGGCGGAAGTTTCAATGATAGATAGGCAACTATAGGAGAGGTGAGTTGTTGTGATGCATGGATGGCAGAACGAATCCACTGATGGACCGAAAGGTGGTTGGAGCTGTGCTTTTCAGAATGGTTGCAATGGTCGCCTCACCCACAGCTCCTGGATGTACTGTAGACTAGTTGTAGTTGTAGCTGTAGCTGTAGTTGTCGTTGTAGTGTAGTTGAAGTTGAAGTTGTAGCAGTAGTTGTTGTAGTGTGGCGTACTGGTAGTCTTAGTTGTAGGTGTATCTGTAGTGGTAGCTGTTGTTGTTGTTGTTCTTGTTGTTGTTGTTGTTGTCGTCATCGTCGTTGTCGTTGTCGTTGTCGTTGTTGTTGTCGTTATCGGTGTCGTTGTCGTTGTCGTCGTCGTCGTCGTCGTCGTCGTTGTCGTTGTCGTTGTCGTTGTTATTGTTGTTGTTGTTGTTGTACTTGTACTTGTACTTGTACTTGTAGTGTAGTGTAGCGTAGCGTAGTGTAACAGATGTGTCGTGAAGTTGTAGTTGTAGTGTAGTCGTAGGTATAGTTTAGTGTACATGTAGTGTAAAGGTAGTTTTAGCTGTAGTTGTAGTAAAAGTTGTAGTTGTAGCTGCAGTTGTAGTATGTTGTAGTTGTAGTCGCAGTTGCAGTTGTAGTTGTAAATTGTATCTGTCGTTGTAGTGGCAGTTATTGATGTAGCTGTAGCTGTAGCTGTAGTAGGAGCTGTTGTCGTTGTAATTGTAGTTGTAGCGTAAGGTAGCATAGTGTAGCAGATGTGTAGTTGTAGTTGTAGTTGTAGTTGTAGTGCCGTGGTAGTTGTAGCTGTAGCTGTAGCGGTACGTAGCTGCTGTTGCTGCTGCTGCTGTTGTTGTTGTTGCTGTTGTTGTTGTCTATAGTGTAGTGTGGGGCGGTTGAACGTCAGAAAACTGGCCCGAACATGTTGTGTTTTTAGCATGTTTACTTCGAAGCGAGCTTCGCGCCACAACTGCGTGCGCTTTTTCGACATCGCAGCCTCCAAAAGTGGTCCGAGAATGTGGTATTTTAACATGTTTTGACCATTTTGACTTCCAAACTTGCTTCGCGCCACAACACAGTGCACTTTTTCAACATCTCAGCTTCCAAAAGTGCCCCAAACATGCTTTGTTTTGCATGGTTCGACTTCCAAATGTGCTTCGCGCCACAATGGCGTGCCCTTTAAACATTGAAACTTCCAAAAGTGCTCCGAGCATGAGGTGTTTTTGACATTTTGCCTTCCAAACGTGCTTCGCGCCACAACGGCGTGCAAATTGTCATCTCTTCTCTGCAGATGGCTCCGCACCCGCCGCTTCAGCAAGCCTACTTTTCGGCTCTCCGGGGCCACAAAACATTGGAAAAACATGGAAAAACAGTGTTTCGCATCTTCTTTCTTCTGACTCTTTCTCTTTTCTGATCTTCTTTCTACTGACTCTTTCTCTTCTCTGACTCTTCCCACCTCTGCTTTTCCATCTTGTCGATATTTGACTTCTAAACTTCCTTCGATCAACATTGCCATAGCTTAGGGTGTACCCTCCGCTGTCCTCAAACATAGCTTGCTGGAAAATCACCCAGCAATAGTTCGATGATTTTCCCAGCAAACTAAACCTCCATTTTTCAGGATGTTCAATTGCCATGTTTGATTACCGGAGGGTAGCTCAAATGATGTTTGTCATGGGTTTCAATAGGTTCCAAATCCAAGATATTCTAAAGGATTGGACGATCTTTATCAGGAGCCATTTGTACAACCCAAATAGGAAGTAATGAACACTGAGATAATGATATGTAACTCGCGTTGTCATTGTTTATCTGACGCATAATTGAGTCTCTTCTCCATACAAACTGGATTATAATTTAGGTAAACCCAAAGGGCTTCGTCTATAGGAACCAGATCTGAGGCTAAGAGCCTTACATAAACCAAAGACGTAAAGAACCAACATAAAACAACGTATAATAAACGCAACATAAAAGCAAACACAAGTGAATCATAAACACATCGGAAACTCATCATAAACAGAAGGCAAGTGAATCCACAATAAAACATAAAACGACTCATCAACAAAACACAAATGAATCCACAAACCATTCTGGCAGTCATGTGTCCCAACTGTCGCGCACGTGTTTCCATCTTCTCTGGAGGTGAGCGAAGTTATGTGACACAATGTTTGCTCTGTGTTTCACTTGTGTTTGACATACGCTTTGTTTGCGCAGCACTTGCGTCAGGCAAAAGTCTAAGATCTTATTCTGGGAAAATAAGATCTTAGGATTTTGACATAAATAAAAAAATACAAGCGAAACACAAACAAAACATAAACAAAACACAAATGTAGCATAAACGTGTTTATGTTTTTTTTGTGTTCTGTTTATGTTTTGGTTTATGTTTTGTTTGTGTTTTTTGTGTCAATTATTTGCGTAAGGCCTTATTTTTATGTTTTTTGTGCTTTTTTGTGCAAACAAGCATAAAAAAGCACAAAAAACATAAAAATAAGGCCATACGCAAATCATCGACAAAAAAACAAATCAAACATAAACAAAAAATAAACCAAAACATAAACAGAACACAAAAAAACATAAACAAGTTTATGCTACATTTGTGTTTTGTTTATGTTTTGTTTGTGTTTTGTTTGTGTTTCGCTTGTGGTTTTTTATGTATGTCAAAATCCTAAGATCTTATTTTCCCAGAATAAGATCTTAGACGTTTGCCTGACGCAAGTGCTGCGCAAACAAAACGTATGTCAGACATATGTGAAACATGTGGGAGACATCAGTTTCACATTGGCTGCAGGTTTGTACCAGGTTTGGATTTCAAATTGGCAACTGCTTGACACAGGGGGGACGGCCAACTCATGTTTCACATATGTTGCAAATTTCACACACATGTTTTGCTTTATGTGTCACTTATGTTTCAATTATATTCCATTTATGTTTCGTTTGCGTTCCACATATGTTTTGTCTTATGTTTGACATATGTTTCATATACGTTTCACATATGTTTCGTTTATGTTTCACATATGTTTTTACTTACGCCTAGACATAGTTTATGTTTACGTCATGCCCCGTCCACCCTCTATAGAAACCATCCCTGGAGCCCCTTTGGATCAAGCTAAATTATAATGGGATCATTAAAGCATTACTGAAAGTGATGGGGTACGGATGATCCCTGATGTTTAATGCGAGACTTTTCCGCCCCAGTCAGCACCACATCTGGGATTACACCAGGGCCTAGCAAGACATTGAAACATTGCATGAACGTGTAACCTCCGGTGTTCTCAAACATCCCGCCGGGTTGGAAATGGGCCGAGTAACAACAACATTTTCATGTGACTGGCAAGAAGTCAATCATGCGTTTCGCAGTATTTTTTCATGTTTTTATGTTGTCCATGAAGGTCAATTCTATTGTGATTTTGAATTTTCATTGGGATTTACTGTATATAGTTGACATGTCGGAGTGTGAAAAAGGTTCCTTTTGGGAAGTCAGCGTGCCCAAAACCTCAGCGGCAGCCATTTTTTCCGGTGATCTCTACATCTTCGCTAAGTACGCACCTGTTTTCTCCAACAGGGTTTTTCCAACTACATTTGCCTCCCATCGCCACTGCCATGTGCGAACGTACGTCCAAATGAGGTCATTCAATTTTTGTTCGTTTTCTGGGCAAGATGTCAACTGATCGGGAACACTGGCAAGTACGTGAACGTTATTACCCCACCCCACTCCACCCCACCCCACCCCTGCGTGACGTGACACATCTTCAACGTAGCATGACGTATGTGCACACGTGCAAGTGAACGTGCCGTGGCGTAACATCATGGGAGTGCGCAAGTACGTGAACGTTATTGCCCCACCCCACCCCCAGGAACATATATTTTTTTTCTGCCTAAAACGCTCGGACGGTTTTCAACCCGTAGGCTCAAACATGGCTTGATGGAATTGCTGACCCAGCAATACTTCGATGGTTTTCCCAGCTTTTCTTCGGATCCCAGGTGATTACAGCTATTGGATTGGTAATCCCCTAAATCCATAGTGGATGACATTACTATTTGGCTATTTGGGGGCATATCCCATTTTCAGACACACCGACATAAAGAGATCTGCAACACATTTACTCATACCCCTTGGTTGCTCCTAGGGGGGGTCCAACCCCTGAAATAGTAGTCTCCACTGGCTGTTTTCCAGACGGGCCTGACCCCCCCCATACCCCTTTTGAGCATTTCTGAATGGATAAAATCTAGGGGCCCAAGTATAGCATTTGTAAACCAAACATTTTTGCTAAAACTCAACTTGGACAAGGGTACCCATACTTTGGAGCATTTTGGACGTTCCAAATTGGTCAAAGGTCAGGCCCCTCAAAATATTTTAGGCATATATATATATATATATATTGTGAATATTTAGAACATACGTTTTTATCTGTGAATCTCATGCAACCATGGACCTCCTGGATTTTAGACATCGTTTTTTTCTCCCCTGCATGCCACAGATAAGCTGGCCACTTTGAAAGGTTCTCAACAGAGATAAAGTTGACAAACATGTCACAACTAACTTCCCAAGAAAACAATTTTTGCACACCTTTAATGCCAGTTTTTTTTAATTGGAGATATTCATCTATCAAGGTTAGCGGATACAGATGTTATTTTCAGGTTTTCCCTCCAAGCTTCAAGAGCAAAGATTGGACAAGGTGAGATGTTGGTTTCCAGGATTTGGTAGCTTTTTTTGGAATCAATTTCAGTGTCAAATTCAATATCTTGACATATCTTGACCTGAAAGTTCAAAAACAATAAGGTTTCAAGGTGAGGAAATGTGTAACGGTGAGTTTGATAAACATGGCAGCAATGCTCAACAAAATAAACTTCATGCACCTTACTGTTTGACGCCAATTTTGCAGGGGATTTCATCAATTTCATCAATCAAGGTTGCTGTTTCTTCCTATCCAATCAAAGGTGTAGGTTGGACCTAAATTGAAAGGGGCTGACATCTGAAAATAAGATAGGTACCAAGCCTCAAGTAGGACACAAATAAAATTCAAAAGCCCAACCTTCCAAAGATAAAATTAACGGGCCTGACCTGAAATTGGAATGAGAATGAATGAGATAAAATCCAAGGGCTGGACCCCCCCTTGGGTCCTCTTTGGAAGCGAGTACCCTTGAGGGGACCTAGGGGGGTCAGGCCCCTTGGAATTTATCTCACACATAGGATCGAGATAAAATCTAGCATGTCTGCAAACAAAATCAAGGGACCTATCGTCAAATTTACTAAAAAACTAAAAAAATAGCCATGCACCCCAGGGGCTGGAGCTCCTAGATCTCAGCTGGGAGCAAGCAACGGGTATTTTACTCTTTATAACATAGTTAAACTATCTTAAACTGTGAAACTTTGAAACTATGAAAAATCAGTGAATACAAACTTTACGTCTCACCCCACCAAACGAATTTCTGCTTCCCAAATGTGAAACCATCAAACATCAGTTGATACTAACTTTCTGAGTCACCCCAACAAAAATGCTGAGACCAGACAATTTCAAAACCAAGCGGCTCCCTTTGCTGACGTAGAGATCTGCCACTCCATCGATGTAGTCCACCCGACGCAGTTGCCACAGCCCGTCCTTCTCAAAAGCCTGCCGTGATAGAAGTAGCAAAAGTGGAAACCCAACTGATCTAATATAACTAAGCTATACTATATAAGGTGGTTTATATTTGTGGTTATATAACTAAGTTGGGTCATGACATGAACTGAAAATTTCAGTGGCTTTATAGTAGCCGAACTACTGGGGGTCACATGGGGTCACCAAGAAACAAAACTGGCACCACATTTTAGGAGAAATATTATCCCAGTAGGTAGGGCAAGTTTGGTCCGCGTGGGGTGAACTAACCCACTTTCTGGGGTCCAGTGGATCTATCCATTCTGAGCGATCAAAGGGGTCTATCGCAAAAAGGACGATGGGAGAATCGAGACAAAAAAGGATGTAGTTGTTCTAAGTAGTAAAACATGTGAACATGTTGGTCAATGCAAATGGTTGTGGTCACGTTTTGAGTAGCGAACAATCCAATGTTTGGGGGTCGATCGAGAAGATTCGGGGTAACACTTCACCACCAACTTCACCACCGAAGGAATCTCAAAGTGGGGCAGGCTTTGGCAAAGGTGTTTCACCTGAAAAGTCCATCATATTTGACAGGTCTACGACTACGTGTATGTCGATTTCAAGAGACTTTAAACTTTAAACCACAAATGTCTGTCTTTTTGTTCAGTCTTTCCCCATCTATTCTTGAGATGTAGTACCCATCAGTACCCAAGATTTATGCCTCACCAATTATCAAATCCAGAATCAGCTAACCCATCTAACCCATCTAACCCTAGCAATCAACGCAATTCCACCTCCAAGTAGTTGCTTGGCACATCATCCGTATGAAGCATCACCCGCTCAATGTTGGGCGACAGTTCCTTGAGGCGCTGCCCCAGCACCAAGGCCCCCAGGGCGTAGCCGGCATTGGCGCCCCAGAGGGCGGTGGCGAAGCAGTAGCGTTTTGTCCAGGCTTTGGAAGTCCAAGGCTCCTGGTGAAGTCTATGTCGGCTCGGCTTGGCCCAGTGATGATAGGCTAAACCCCAAGCGGAATCCCATGTATTTTTTGGCGAGCTATCAGTATGGTTTCCATCATATCCCTACTGGAAACAGCCCCGGATAAAAACACAGGAAAAGTTGGGAAATCTTAGAGTTGGTTGACTGGAATCGGAATCGACCAAAAGTGGGAGTGTTGACCCGACAGAAATAAGCAGCGGCTCCTGACATGAAACATCGGGAATTTTGTAAAAGCAATGCGGAGCTTCAGCAACAAGAATTGGAATGTTCACTCAATGAACATGGGATTTCTTACTTGACAAAAATGGGACGGATGAATCACAAGATCTCTCAGTCAACAATAATGGGATTTACAATGAACAGAAACACAAAATCTTCCTCGACATGTGAGCATTGAAGCAACAGTATGGGAAATGTTTGAGACACAGAGATGAGGACTGCTTATGACTGCTTCACTGCACACTAGTTAAGACGCTGCCACTTCCCTGGAGGAATGTATTCCTGCTCAATGACCCTCGAAACCGCCCGCTTCCTTCAGGGATGTCACTGAGATCTCGAGCGGTCGTCGACAGCATGGGCAGTTTGTCTTGTACCACTTCTTATCATGGCCTCGGAGGCGCTTGTGCTGAGATGAACATGGGAATGGATGCAGTTTTTTTTTTTTAGAAACTGCTATATTCAAAGCCCAAAGCCACCAAGGTAGAAGATATGAAACCTGCAAAACAAAGTAGAACATGTAAATTGGGGACATGTAAAATCACAGCTTGGAATATTGATGACTATTAAGAATACAATGGGGATTCAAACCAATAATGCGATTTTGGGATATGTTGGGTGCGTCTGAAAATGTGGTATACCCCATGGCAATTTGATGGGGCAAATGATGAGTGATCAACCAGTGCATTTAATGGGAGTCCTATTTGAAACCAACCACAACAAAGCCACATGCTCTATGCTGGTATGTTGACCCGTGACAACAGAATTGTCAGCTACAAATGACCCGAAATCGTCCAAAATCCAAATATCTCGCAAATATCAGATAGTTTGTCAAAGGATATTCATAAACAATAGGCTTGGATACACCCTTTATTTTCATGTTTTTCAAATACGTCCTGTGAGTAGGAGCCAAGCAAAATCAAGGCCTCTGCCTCGGCCATGATGTGCATCCCAGTGGATTTAAGTGGTCTAGAACATGTTTTAACCCTATAGCTATCATATGCTATCATATAATCCCACATATTAGTGGATTAATGGCTTAGTGATTTGTAATCCATTAATCTACCCATTTAATCTAAGTGGGGATATTCCACTAATCTAACTGGGAAAATAATTTCATTTGCAATGCGTTCAACCTGCACCCCATCGTCCAGGAACTGTAGATGTCAGGTCGGTAGACCTTCTCAGAACATTTGGTCAAAGGCGAGCTGATGTACAGTGAACTAAAAAAACTCGATTCGCTCAGCTCGTTCCTCTCCTGCGACTCAGACGACATAGGAAAAAACGAGGCAGTTGGTCCCTGTGGCTGTTACCCGACCTGCAGGGGCATCTAGCTATTACTGATATCCCCACATATCTGCAAAAAACCATGGCCTATCTTGAAAATACTCTGCAAAATACAAAAAAATGGCTGATTTGGTAAAGATTCCTCCATTTACATCCATTTACAGCAAATAATGCACCCATTAACCTGCTCAAACAGTCGATTTCGTGCATTGCACCTCGCGGACAAGGCATGAAAGTGGATATTCTAGCCAGCAATTAAAATGATGGGCGATGGGCCCCAACCACTTCTTTTCATGGCATTTCATGGCTTACCAACCAAGTGAAATAAACAAAGTAATCATGAGTTATATGAGTTGCGTTATATGTTTTAATCAATAACAGCTCAACTAAAAATATATGAATGTAAAGAATAAAGAACATGGGAGTTCTACATCACCTACCGTCAGGATGCATGCATATTTTCCCAGCCACAAGCCACATTGGATTACAACGACTACGAACAGCTGATCGACGTCGCCTTCTCGAGTTCACGGGCATAGTCCCGCCAGTAATTCTTCTCATGTCTCAGCTGATGGTTTTTTCCTGAGCGGATCGTCGGATCGTGCCACGGTGCGTGGCGCACCGAGGATGTGAAGAAAGGCCCGCCTGTGGATGAGTTTTTTGTGACCTCAAACTATGAACATCTATGAACATGTCAATTGAAATGCCCCAACTCGCAAACCATTTTCCATCATTTTCCTAAACATCGTGATGTTCAAGCCTGTTTAAGAAAATACTGCGCCGTGAAAACGCGAAACGGGTGGAAACGCATCGCGGATCCACTGGATCAGCATCCCTCTCTGTGGCCAGTGTCGTCGCAACTGTTCTTTCTCCTCCTCATCCCATGCAGTCTGCACCTGTTCCAGGAATCTTCACCAAGCATAGGCTGCCTAGTCCCCGAAAATTGAAGAAATCCCTGGATTTGGAGCCTGCAACATCTCCGAGAAGCGAATTCCACAAGAGAGAGACTGCCGTCTCCATGCTGGTTACCGCATATCAGTGTATCACTAAATGTGGTCAAATTGCAAGCTCCATACCTTCTGGTAATTCAACATATCTATTGAAAATTGCCATGTTTAATAGGGACAGGAAATCATCTATAAATGATCAATTTCCATGTAAATTTACCAGAGGGTAAATCTATGTAAATCTCCATGTCCCCGTGACATCCGTGACCATGTTGGAAAAAAAACTGTTGTTTGCTGCTTGAGATCATCATAATCGTCTCGATGTCCCGACGAAAAGCACAGAACCTCTAGCTTCGCAAGTTGGTTTACCCAAATGGCTCTTAGAATTAAGGATCGCCAAGTCACCAAGTCGGTGTCAATGCTATACTTTGGTCATGACTTGGATGATGGGGGTATCGCCTTGACTTAGGAAACCTCGTTCAATAGGCCTCATGTCTTCATCTGTCACCCACATGGGTTTATCTGAAAATAGGGTACCAAGTCCTAGGGATTAGCTGATTAGCATCATGTTTCCCCTTTTAGAAATGCCATAAAATGGTGCTTAACCCTGAAAAAGTCATAAATCAACGAGACCCAGTCAAAAAAATTGTGCTTTATACCGCCCATGTCTGAATAAGCCCATGATTGCGTTGCAAAAAAACAAACATTTTTTTATTAAATCAATTTGTTTCACATTTTCACTAGAACACACATCTCGCTATTCTGGCTGGTGGTTGACCTACCCATCTGAAAAATATGAAAGTCAGTTGGGATTAGTATTCCCAATATATGGAAAGTCATAAAAATGTTCCAAACCACCAACCAGTATTTCTTGGTAATATCTCCGTTGAGTCAACTTGTGTGTTGTGTAAAAATCTCCATTTCTGAAGCTTCCCGTGCCAGATGTGCCACTTTCCCCTCAAGCCTGCGACGGAGTCTTCACAGCAACCTGTGGCACTCCAAAGATCAGTGGATTGTTTTACAACTTGTTTTATCAATTTAAGTATAACATGGGATATCCAACAATTATCATATACCATCCAACAATTGAAAGAATGTGTCATGCATATTGGAACAAAATGGTACCAATCCTACATAATACATCATAATACTACTTTTACCTACATGAAGGGGTCAAAGGTATGAGGGTTTTTGTTGTTAAATGTTGGTAAATTTAGATAACGTGGAGAACCTGTGATTGATTGGTGGAAAACAAATAATTACCATTTGAAATGCGTAACGTAACCTTAGGTACCCCTGAAATAAGCCAGCATTTGTATACCCTCTCTTGTATTTCAACGATTTTCATCGCTTTTCAACGTATTTCAACCGCGGCTTGCTGGAAAATCCACCTTATTCAGTTCGATAATTCTCCCTACAATCGGGTGCCTACTAATAAATTGGTTTACAACCCCATGAAGTAGTTCGATATATCTACCATCAGTCCAAACGTTCGAGTTATAACTCAACCAACTTCGCTATCTTTAGGGAGTCTTTAGGGGGATTCTCCCTACAAACCTATATTATATCCTATAAATGTATGGATGAATTTTAAGTTCAACATGTTTCATGTCCCATTAATGTATGTTTCCACATCTTCCTATGACTTTCCCATTTGTTTAACATAAAACCTCCATTGAAACTTCCGGGGAATGTTCCATCCGGCCTCGTTCAAGAGGAGTTTCAATGGAAAGGTCTCGGCATCCACGTGATCCACGCCACGATCATCGGCATTGCAGACCGAGGTGGAAAGACCCATGGCTGGGCTGGAAATTTTGGGTGGAAACGTCTAGGTTCTTTTTCATGATTTTATGATTATTAATATGTTTATTTATTATATATGTTTATTATAGTTCTATATGATTTTTCTATACGATTATTATTATATAAATATATGTAAATATGTATGATTCTATGGGTATGAACTGCTCCAATCATTCTAATCTTTAGCTCATGGATTTTTAAGTTTTTTTTTTGGTATTTGGGTTTATGACTGTTCTAATCCGACAATGCGGGATGTGTAAAGACGAGCACGTTTCAATATAACTTCTTGCCAACAGCGGCACTTGTAATGTGCAACACGTTGCCCCTTGGTGGATGTTACATGTTTCCAATTGGGGTCATTTTTAGCTCAAACATGCGGGAACAAAAAACCACAAAAAAGTGATCATGCTCTTGATAAAATTGATAAGCATCCAACATTTGGGACAAATAGTTCTGAGCCATAGAAAAAATAAGGACGGCTGATTTTCCATGAATCTTGAAGAATCCTGCTCCGTCATGAGGCCACCTCGGAAGTGCAGTTCCAGCAGTGGATATAACATGATAATATAGATAGATGTAGTTATAGGGGCCTCATATGCCAACTTCTTAGGTTTCATAACCATGCTTAGACCCTCAACCAGGGACCCCTGACCTCTGGAAACAAGTCATGTCCTCTGGAGCCATATTTTGGAAGCTGCAGCGAGCATGAGTGGTTGCAAGGAATCACATATCATTCTTCTTCGGCTTTATGCAGTTAAAACATCGACGCAACAACAAAACAACCAATCTGGATTTTGACCCTCCAGATATAACAACACCCGACAAAAAACGAGAACAAAGTTAGCACTTCTTTTAGTGGAATTTCACTTGTCTACTTTATGTTGCTGAGGGTGAATAATCAATTGCCATAGTTCCCCCCGCTTGAAATGGGATGGTTTAAGACTAAGACCCTTAAAGAACTTCGGGGAGCCAAAGCCGCAAACCATTTTTTGTTGTTTTCTTTGGATCTCTGGCTGAAACGTCTATTTCCCCACCTGCCAGGTGAGGGTTGTTAGATTTTATGTCAGTTGCCTGGTCCTCCTCCTCCTCCTCCTCGTCCTCCTCCTCCTCGTCCTCCTCCTCCTCTCCTCCTCCTCTCATTGTCCTCCTCCTGTCGTTGTCCTCCTCGTCCTCCTGCTCAACTGCGACTCGCGATCCACAGTGTTCTCTGTCGGACCTCAACCACGACCATCCACGCCCAGTGTTCCCTGCCGGACCTCCACCACAACCATCCACGCCCAGTGTTCCCTGCCGGACCTCAACCACGACCATCCACGCCCAGTGTTCCCTGCCGGACCTCAACCACGACCATCCACGCCCAGTGTTCCCTGCCGGACCTCAACCACGACCATCCACGCCCAGTGTTCCCTGCCGGACCTCAACCGCGACCATCCACGCCCAGTGTTCCCTGCCGGACCTCAACCGCGAGTATCCACGCCAAAAGATATGCCACATAGAGTGCCAGAAGATATGCCAGATAGAATGTTAGAAGATATGCCAGATAGAATGTTAGAAGATATGCCAGATAGAATGCCAGAAGGTATGCCAGATAGAATGCCAGATAGAATGTCAGCTAGAATGCCAGAAGATATGCCAGATAAAGTGCCAGAATGTTTGCCCGATAGAATGCCAGCAGATTTGCCAGATAATATGCCAGAAGATATGCTAGATAGAATGCCAGATGGAATGCCAGAAGATTTGCCAGAAGATATGCCAGATAGAATGCCAGATGGAATGCCAGAAGATATGCCAGAACATATGCCAGACGATATGCCAGAAGATATGCCAGAACATCTGCCAGAAGATATGCCAGGTAGAATGCCAGAAGATATGCCAGATAGAATGCCAGATCGAATGCCAGAAAATATGTCAGATAGAATGCCAGAAGATTTGCCAGTAACAAAATGTATAAATGTCATGGTGGGGATCACACGAAGTAAAGTAATTCAACTCTTGTTTCTTTTTCCAAAATCCACCATGACAGGGAGGTAATCGGCAAGACATCATGCCGATTTTTCACAAGGAAGACAATGTCAGCGGACAATCTGACCATGGCTGGTTAAGCCACCCATTCACACATCATCGTCGGGATCATCGTCCAGCTGGACCGTTTTCGTGTTTTCAGACGGTTGGGACCGGCTTCGATTTGACAACGATTGGACCTGGACGGTCCCACCATGAAAAAAAACCCTGTGATCGTGACAACATCAACAGTGACATGTTCAACCAATGGATGACTGTCATATGATATGCTGATCCATGAGCTTGAAAATCTGGTTCAGTCATCCCCGAAGCCCGATTCAGTACAACCAATTGCTTGACTCAGCCCCGCATCCTTTTGATAGGTATAAATGATTCTCCGTGACCCATAGATATCTGTGACGAATCTAAAAGATAAGTCTATAGACTATTAGATATCTATGGTTCACAGATATATCAGGGATATAGTATAGAGATATCATTCATATAGACAATATATATACTTATACATAAATATAATTATCAGGTATAAATACCGCCTGAAATCTCAAGTCTCCATCCTTTTCGGAAAACTTCTCCAAGACTCCATCCCTGGCACCTTCATCTCTCGAATAGAAGCTGCGATCCTTAGAATCGATCGACGGTGACAGCCATAGCTCTGTTGAATTCCCAAAGGCTATGACCCACTTACCACTTTTATGAGTTCATTGGATATCACTGGATTGTTTTGCAGAAACAAATAGAGGAAACCTATGGAAACCACAAGAAATTGATAGGATATACATGGAAAAACAATGGTCTCCTGAGAAATTTCCCTCCAACCAATCCCAACCGTCGATATTTCTCACTTAAAGCTTAATGCTAAAAACCTTTATAAAAACCTAGATTCACATTCCCTCCCATCCGTTCCGTAGATTTTCCCAGCGGCTCGGTCTCTCCAAAGACTCGGTCGAAGAGCGGGTTCTCAAAGACGCTGTTCAGAAAGGGCCTCGGCGTCGCAGTCGCAGTCGCGTCGCAGTCGTGGGAGTCCCCAGAGAGTCTAACCATGATGTAGCGATGAACGGAAAATACCATGGGAATATCACATAGTATAACCATGATGGGAAATCTATATAAATATATGGGAATATTAATATTAATGGGGCTATTTCATGTGATATAATATGATATAATGGGATATTCAACTCACATGATCTCAAAATACCTTTTTCATGTGGGAAAAGCCAATGCAATAAACCATCCCAAAGGCATCACCATGTTTAATCATCCCCAAAGGGTAGGTTTATCATGATTTACCATATTACAGTAGTCTCTGGTGTGAAGAATACATAGCTTGCTGGAAACTATCCATCAGCATTCGATCTTATGCGAACGAAGCTCCATGCCAAGGAATCACCACGTTAAATCGGACACCGGAGGGTACTAGCAAGACAAGCTTCACCCAGGATGTTGTGCAGGAAAAATGGAGGGTTGAATCAGCCCAGCAAAGATCAAATGGCCGTGCAATGCTGTGGGCATAAACCGTTAAATGATGGACCCCTATACCAGAAGTGGTCTATCAGACTGCATTGAAATCACTTGCTTGAACCTACGTTGGGGCAGTGATAGGGGGCCCTGCTATTGTGATTCCGTCCAAGATGCAATCATCAGCTACTGCAGATTGAATATGAACCCAATGGGCAGCAAGCAATCTTGTTTCCAAACACGTCCAACACAATCATCAATAATCATCAATATCATCAGCATTAATTCATATTGATGCGCTAAGTTATTGCTGACCCGACACGGCAAGGCATCTCAAAATGTTGCTGACCCCTAACTATGAAGATTGCAGATCGGAAATCCCAACCACAGAATTGTGGATCGAACAAACTTGGACACCTTTACCCATGAAAGATCCATTCTTTATATTTCTTTATACTTGATTTTCCCAGCACACCTCCATGGTTCGTTCGGGGATGTGGGATTTCCCAGCAAACCTCCATGGTAATCACCATGTTTTCCATCGGAACATGGGATCGATCCTTGAGATGTTGCAACTGATATGACCTGGTCAGTGGGTTATAAGATATCGCTATGCAAGACCCTGGCACCCGGATGGTACCCTAAAATGGCTGGTTAATAGATGGTTATTTCCCCAAATATATAAATAATTATATTATATTATAGATATAATTATATACATTAGGTTTTGACCCATTCCTGTCAAGAATTGTTATAGGTCTATTATACACCCAAACATAAAGGATTTCCAGGGAACATTTACTGATCATGCCCAAAGATGTCCTAAGATGTGGAAAATATGTCGGGCAACTGGAACAGTATACGATAAAAATTCCGTGTGTTCTCATTTTCCGTAGATAATGAAGATTTCCTAAAATCAGGGTACCCCAAAATGGATGGCTGGTTTGTATGGAAACTCTTTTTAAAGTGGATGATTTGGAGGTACCACCATTCAAGGAAATCTCCTAATGTTTGATAGACATGCGGCGACCCCTCCATCATCAAACAGTAGGAGAAGGACGAAGCTACGGTTGAAATCCTCAGAGTCGTAGACAACCCGGATTCTCGCTGGCTTATCCCAGCTCCAAACTGTTTCTGCCTGTCTCAGGTTGAGTCCCCAACATATCTCCCAATCTGGCTCCAAATCTGTCCCAAGACGTTCTGCCAGCCTCAGCAGACCAACCAAATTCTGGGTTACTGTCAGAACACTCTGTTCAATAAAACATGATGAAAGGGTTCATCTGCAAAAAAACGATGCACGTCATAAGGGCTGTCGTGGTCATTGAACTGCACTTTGCTGTTGGTAAAAAGCAGCTGTTACAACTGGGATGGTTTCACCATGAGCAAGACCCTACCCGAAACAGCCAGCCCAAAGCGGAACATCATTTTCTGGGACATGATTTTCCATGGTTTTCCTAAAATGAAAATTGCCAATTGCCACGCTCGATGCTCCCAACACTCATATGTCAGAGA